ACATTTTAATCTGATTCGCAAACTTGTTTGAAGAACCAAATTAGCGAGAGATCAGTTATCGAGATTAAAAGATCCAGGATCGGCAAAATCATCTTAGATCATTTAAGCGAGGTACGAAGAACGGACCCCAGGACATTTAAAAAAAAAAAGAGATTTCTTGTTTTTATATTACTTCTATATGACAGTGGACACACTATATCTACACACAGTTCTTTCCAAACAGCTATCAAAAATTAATTTTTATCATAAGTGGTCTTTAAATTAGTCAAACCCACTAAAAATATTAAGTAAAACAATTTTAAGTCAAAAATCTGATTATCTCATTAAAATAAGTTTAAGTAGTATAAAAACATGTGTTGTCATAACATGTCAAATAATTTTTACAGTATATTCTTCCATATTAGGTTATTGTGCAAGTTTACTTTAGGCTGTACAATGTATTACCATTAGAGTCAGCAGCGCAACACTAATGCCTCATTCAGACTAGCAGCAACTTTGTAACTGCCTGTCACTCTGGACCTGCTTCAAACGCAGGGGTCTATAGGTATATACAGCACAAATACAACTGGCCTCTGAGCGAGCTGAAAGAGGATCACCGGGGCTCTACTCTATTGGCTGTCGCTCAAGAGATGCTCACCTAGATGGAGGTCGCCGAAAGTCGCTCACTCTACATTGAAATTAGCGATCGCTTGTCGCTTTGCCGATGCGAGTCGCTTGTAGTGTGAATGTGTTGTATTACCTGTAGTACACATACGCTGACCTGACCTGGCAATGCTGAAGGGAGGACTTGGGTGAACAAATGTGTTTTAACAGTTTTGTTGTTGTTGTTGTTGTTGTTGTTGTTGTTGTTGTTGTTGTTGTTGTTGTTGTTGATTAAAAAAAATTAAAAAATAAGTTCTTGGAGCTTTGTATTACAGTTGAACCTCTTAAGTCAGATGAAAAGTTGACAACATTGTTGATTCCTTTTTTGGGGCTGTGAATGTCTCAACACCGTTGGTGTCTATGGACAGTCAGACAGCTCTCAGAATTATTCTAAAATATATTAATTTGTGTTCTAAAGATGAAAACAGGTCTCAGGTGACTGAAACGACATGAGGGCGAGAAAATAATAAAGGAGTTTTTCTGGGGGGTGAACTAACCTTTTAAAGCAAACAACAGTCACTTATGACCCAGTCTAGGGACAAAGCTATTCCCATGAGTAAAATATTAAAATATTGTTTTCAGAGTATAGTAACTTGGTGATTAAAAGGCTTTCCTGTGTTGAACATATAACCATATAATTCTCATAAACCTGCTAACTTTCATGCGATATGTGTGAGAGGATTCCAGAAAGGGAAGTAACCATCCACAAAGTACTGTTTACATTGGAGCAAACTCCACACACAGGAAATACACTGGTGGACACATAACACAGTTTGTCTGTCTAGAACTGTAATTTCACCGTTAAAAGTATTATACTGTAGGTATTAGGTAAGTATTATAGCTTTTATATTTCATAGCAGCTTTTGTAACGAGACAAAAGTGTAATTTCATGAACAGAAATAAGAGTTTCACATTTTTGCTTTGAATGTTTTATCCAAGACATAAGTCGATGTTAACATCATTCTTCTTAGATCATTTTTAAAAAGAATTTTAATGAAAATTGTTTGTTATTCTCGCTACCATCAAAAAGTATTGAAAGTATTTTTGCTTGTGTTGTCTGCATTTATTTAATACAGTAATATTTAAAATTATTTTCTTTTACTAACATTCTAATTTACTTCTTTTGTGCTTAGGAAACATGACATATAATTAAAAATGTATTGTACTTTATTGTATGACAACGTATGTAATGACAATATTTTTTACCATCAATATATTCTTGCTATTATTTATTTGTTAATTTATTATTATTTTTAAAATCTTTCTTCCCTCACACTTTTGCTTCGGCTGATAGGAACTCTTTATGTTTGGAAGCCTTTAACTATAGGCTGATTAATACAGGTATTTGTGTGATTCTTTTTTTTTTATTTTTTTTTTTTGTCTGAACTGTCGTTACAAAAATGAAGTGATTAAATACAGTGGATGAATAATGCAAAAAAAAAAAAAACAGTTACACTTTAGGTCACAATTCACTGTATTAATAAACCATTAACTAAAATTTCTAGCTTGATAAACTGCTTATTTGCTGTTTAATAGTAGTTAATAAGGAAGAAGTTGGGATTAGGTATGATTAGGAGCCAGTAGTTAATAGCATGAATTGTGACCATATTTAAAGTGTTGTCAAATTGTCCTCTTTTTCAGTTCATGATGCTTTGAATTATCTTTGTCACGTCATTTAGAATATAAATCACAGAGCATTCCAGATTATTAAAAAACAAAGCAAAACATAAACTAAATGACATTATTACTGAATGATAGGAGTGTGACGAGGCGCTTATCCATGAGACGAGATGAAACACGGGATTGGGTTCACAAGAACGAGACAAGATTTTTACAAAATTTTTGAGAAATCTTTAATTCTAAAATATATAAATAGAAAAATATGTTTTATTCAACAAAAAAAAAATCACAAATTGCAAAACTAGGTGAAATTAGGTGCTATTTTTTAATCCATTTTTAATGAATGGTATTTTACTTCTATTTTAATGAATTATATGCAGTAAAGCACATGGAAACACTACTAATTATTTTTCTAATAGCCTGTCAATGGAAAATTGTCTTTTTATATATAATGTAAAATATTACCAAAATAATTGCTAATATATGAATGGAAAATATATTTTTATTCAACTCCAAAAATAAATAAATAAATAAATAAATTACAAACTGCAAAAGAAGTAGCTGCTTTTAAAAAAAAGTTCTAATAATTTATGTTTTTTTTCTATTTTAATTAATTCTATGCCGTAAAGGACATGCAAACATTGCTAAATATTTAGCTATAAATGCTACTGACTGGATGTTATGTAATTTGTAATGATACTGCACGCCAACTGACCAGACTCGGAAGGTGCAGAAAATGGTGTCAAACAGCCGTGTATGGCTTATCCTGTTGCAAAATGCGGCTAAAAGTCCTTCACGATGCTAATATTTTGATTGCGGTCTTTCTATGTCTGTACTGCAATTGAATAATGTGAAAGAAACTAGAAATACTCCACGTCTTAATTCCATTTGTTTTTTTATGAAGATTATGACTTTAAGCATATCTGAAGTGCTATTCCATCGCATTGTTACAAACCATAATGTGTGTGGCTGCAGTTGTAGCCACTGTTAGACGTGGCAGCCGCTGAACTGAAAACGATTATGTCACAGCCGCATGCCCAACCGAGTGACACGTGCAACTCTGAAGCCAGCCTGGGTTGCCAGGTGTGCGCAAAGCACTTGATTTTTAGTTTAAATCTAATCCTGCCTCCAATCTTCAATGCTTATATTACCCTCACGCTCCATCATAACATCACACCTTACTAGAAATCTCGTTGTGATTTAATCTCGTAAGATCTTTTCATATGAGATCTTGTCACAACTACACTGTGTGATGATTCAATTTTTTTTAGAATTTTAGTTTAATCTTACCAAGCTACAAAAAGCTGTTTGGCTGACTGGCTTAACTTATGCTAAAAAAAAAATGTATTAGCACAAGATTGGCTTCCTCCACATAACTTGGACATGTACAAGTGGTTGACACAACTTCGGAACATTATAATGTTGGAATTGTCCACAGCTCGAGTGAACTTGTTACAAATGTGTACATTAAAGATCTGGGGCCTCATGTACGAAGACTTGCGTGGAAATCATACTAAAACATTGCGTACGCACAAAGTTGTAAATATGCGTACGCAGAAAAAAATTCAGATGTATGAAACACTGCGTACGCCGAATCTCACGCATATTCTTTTGTACATACGAATGAACGTGAAACTGAGCGCAACATGCACGAGCACAAAACCCGTCCCTGCCTCCTCCCCCGTATGAATATGCTAATGACTCTACTTTGGCAAAACCCAACGAAAAAGCAACGGCAAAATCAAGCAAGAAGAGAAACTTTGAACAGAATGTGAATTGGAGGTGCTGCTTCCAGGGGTAGACCGGAGAAAAGCGGTGTTATTTGCAAGTTTGTTCTCCGGAATTAACAACAAAAGAAAAAAATAGAGTGGGAGAGTTTAGCTGATGCGGTTAACACAGTTGGGTCTGAACATCGCACTGAGTGAATTAAAAAAGAAATAGTGTGGTTTATATGTGTAAAATGTTGCATTGCCCTTAACAGTCTCAGTGGCGCAGCTCGTAAGACGCATGTCAACATGTTTTGACACGTTCGAGCATGAACTCGGTTCGATTCCAGCGTCTGATGAACTCTTTCTTCTTTTTTTCCCCCGCTACATATCAGATTTTGCCCACTATTTATCATGAGAAAGACAAGTAGGAATTATTAATAAGTTTGTGCATCATATTTTATTTGCACATTTATTGAATGGAAATGTTTCTGATTCACGCATGCAAATTCATCTTCAGATAGTGTCTTTATAGCAATGTGCGTGCAGTAGATAGCTCAGATTACATTGGGAAAACAGGCGACAGCTGCAAATTGTGCTTTAATGTTTAGCTGGTCAACTGTATGGTATGGAAACCTTATATACCTGCTAGATGAACCCATCTCATCCAGCTGCCATTGCAAGGCTCAGACACTTTGTAGAGAGGAATTTAACACAACTGCCTCTAGGAGTCGCCAATGGAAATAAAACAGACACGCACAAAAAATGTGCGTACGCCAGCCATAAAGCTGCCGTGAAGCTGCGCACATTCCCACGTTCAGTTCATTGTTAGTAAATCCAAACGTGAGAGATTCTGAGCGTGAAACCTGGCGTACGCAAAGTTTTTGTGCGTACGCAGCGTTGATACATGAGGCCCCTGGACTACAGGGGTGTGGGGGGGGGGGTATTTGAATTATATGAAATATATGTCCTTCATTTCAGCCTATATGTTTTGTAAATAAAAAAAATACTGACTGACATTTTTGTCCTTAGGTGAACTCTTGGAGCGGCTCTATAGAAATCGGTGTGACGGCGCTGGACCCAGCCGGTCTGGAATTTCCCAGCAGCGCCACAGGGCTGAAAGGTGGCTCGTGGATTGTGTCTGGCTGCTCGGTGCTGAAGGACGGCCGTTCGGTCCTGGAGGAGTACGGTCGGGATCTTGACCAGCTTGGGGAAGGAGACCGTGTGGGCATCCAGCGGAATGGGAAAGGAGAGCTACACCTGTGGGTGAATGGGCAGGACTGCGGCGCTGCTGCTAGTGGACTTCCATCTCGACTGTGGGCTGTGGTGGACCTCTATGGGAAGTGCACACAAGTGACTGTGGTGTCCTGTGAACCGCCATCTGAAATGGAGGGTGACGAGGATGAAGAGGTGGAGGATGAGATTGTGTCGACGCAGGCAGTGTCCATTATGGCAGATGCCTGTCGTAGTCATGATGATAGAGCTGCTGTACTGACTGCAGCTGCTGCTACTACAGAGCGGATGAACGGATCAGCGGAGGAAGGTAAAACTAGACCACACTGTACAGAATGATAGAGATGATGTAACATTACATCTGGTATGTAAAGCTATTAAAAAAAGGAAGAGACCATTAAGAAAGTCTCAGGTTTTTTTTGGATTTATAATTTAAAGTTATTTGTTTGAGTAAAACAAAGGGCCCTATCTTACACTCGGCTTAATGAGGCACAAGACGTGTTTGGCGCGATTTTCAGACTAGCGCAACCCTAAATTTCATGTTTTGCAGCACATTGTTTAAATGGCTAATCCATTTGTGCTACTTTGTGGACTCATGGTTGTGTTGGTCTATAAAGGAGATGTGTTAAGGCGCATTGTTGACACGTTGCTATTTTTAAGAACTGAAACAGATCACGCCACTAACCAACTAAAAGCTGGTCTAAAGTCGAGTGCAGAGAGTGTTTATTAAACGCGTGTGTAGGTTCAAATGCTTACACGTTGCTTAATGCACACAGGATGGAAAGCAATACACAAATATCTTTACATATGAAAAATTAGAATAGAATAAAAGAATTAAAATTTTACAAAAATTATTATTGAATACATGGATATAAAAACACCACCTCCATGCCTTCTTCATCCCTCCATGCCTTTTTCTATATGCCAGTTTGCAATTGTATAATGTTTTTATTATTAAAAGTATTATTTATTATATTCATATTTATATTAGTTTTAATAAAAACAAGTTTAGATTTGATCTCCTGTCAGGTTTTGGAGATGTATGCCTTGTTAACCTAATTAACCTAGTTAAGCCTTTAAATGTCACTTTAAGCTGTATAGAAGTGTCTTGAAAAACATGTAGTATAATATTATTTACTGACATCATGGCAAAGATAAAATAAATCAGTTATAAGAAATGAGTTATTAAAACTATTATGTTTAGAAATGTGTTGGAACAAACTTCTCTCCGTTAAACTAGGGAAAAAATACACAGGGGGGCTAATAATTCTGACTTCAACTGTACAAGTACACCCCTTACAAATCTATCTTTTAAATTCATATGTTTAATTGGAAGCTATACAACATTATATTTGTGCATATACATTAGATTAGTCAGTATTGAAGCCAAATCTGGAGCTTATCTAACAAAATAACTTACGATAATGACCCCAAAAGCAGTACACCCAAATTCATATGTTATAGAAAAATATTAAATACAAATTTAAAAACGAGGAAAAATCAAGAGAAGCAAAAAAAATAAATAATAAAAAATTGTAGGTTGTAATTTTTTTGCAATATTTTGCTTGAATTTAAGTGTTGGGTGACTTAAATATAATTTTAATAAATGTATCTGTTTGATAAGTCTGTTTTGTTCAAATGCACCAAAATACATTGCCTATATTCACTGAGAAATGAAGAAAAATATTCTTTTTCAAAATGGGGTGTACTCAATTATGCTGAGCACTGTATGTCTAATAGCAAGAGAAACTGAAAAATGTCAAGTGGTGTCTAAATGTTTTTTCCATAGCTGTATATTTAATATTTATTTAACAATTCTTTATGAGAAAACTTAAATAGCTCTGTGTAATAATGTCTTGTATATAAATAATTTGGCTGAACCGCTTATTACTTTTAAAAGACTTTTATTTATCATGTACACTTTCAATATTTGACTGTCTCAATTTTAATATTTTTCCCCCTTTTCTCATTAGTGCCTGAAGTGTCAAGGACGCACAGTCGGCCGGACAAATTTCCAAATAACTTTGAGCCTGATAGTGGTATGTTACATTAAAATGGATTCTTATTTATAAATCATCAATAATCTTCAATGGCATTGTGTTTCACTGTATTTTGTGCTCTATCTTTTTCTCTTTCATAGTTTTGACTGAGCATCAGTTGTTTGATGTGTTCAACAATGCCATTGTGTCTCTGTATCGCTCGGAGGATGAGGGGGCAGAGGATTTGAATGTTGGGGGTGGAGGTGGCGGTTCTGACTCCTCAAGGGGCGGCACAGGAAGTAACGGTGGAGGCAGAGGAACAGGAAGTGACAGTGGCATTGGCGGCGGAGGTGGTGGTGGAGGCAGTAGCAGCAATAGCAGCCCGGCGGGCAACGCTGGTGGGGCAGCAGGACTAGGGGTGGGCACTGGTGGAATGACGACCAATGATGCACTGCTGTTTCATGAGAAATGTGGGACGCTGATCAAACTGAGCAACAATAATAAGACAGCAGAAAGAAGGAGACCGCTGGATGAGTTCAATAATGGAGTCGTCATGACCAATCGACCACTCAGGCACAACGAAATGTTTGAGGTATGACTTGTTACATTCAGACAGGTGTAAGTTGTAATGTTTACTAGAATTGTTAGTGCAGACAACTTTATATAATTAAATGTGTCAAATAATTCTTAAAGTGCACCTATGATGAAAATCATCTTTTGTAAGCTGTTTGGACAGAACTGTGTGTATGTATAGTGTGTCCACAGTCATATTGGGGTGATAGAAACACAAGTCTCTTTTTTCTTTGACGTTAAAATAGGATCCAATTCCTTAATATTTTGAGGCTGATTGCAACGTGATGTACTGTAAGAGTGCTGTTCCTCATCCAACGTATTGATTTACAGCAGTGTATTAACATGTCTTCATATTAACGTGTATAATCATATCAACAGGACAGGACTTGCGCAAAGAAACCGTGATTAAAAGATCTGTTCAGCTCTCTCTGATCATCAATCATAATCAAATGTGATCAAGAATGATTTTACAAGTTTAAAACAAACAAAAAAAAAGTATTGTATTGAATTACAGCGATTTTACCATCTTTACTTTATCACCACTGCCGCGTGTTCGTACAATTATAAAAGAAGATGCTTTAATCCGGGTTTGTGGATGTTAAATCAGGTTTATTTTGTACATAAACCTAAGGGATATCCATACAGCATTGGATATTATCCTGTATCCTGTCACATTTGCAAGCAAAATCAGTGTTTAGTTAATTGCGTGCATGCTGTGTGTCCGTTGTGTGTGTGTCTGTGTGCAAGTGCGCGAACTTTGTAATGACATTGTTTGTGACTCATCTTCACAAAGAGGTTTGAGTAAACTCCACAACAAATACATCAAATAATCATTGTGAGTTCTTACTGTAGTATTTTACACAAACGTTACGTGAGATCTGCTTCCTTCTGGTCTGTCACTGTGCTGTTTATCTGGAGCAGCGGAGGCGGAGATTTAGGGCCTACTCACACTATGCCATTCGTACCATGCCCAGGCCCGTTTCCCGGATCGTTTGAGAAGTGTGAGTGCGCTGAATCGGGCTCAAGCACGGTTCACTGGGCCGGCCCTGGCCCGGTTGGAAGAGGTGTGCCTGAGCGCGGTTCACTTGGGCTTTGGCACGGTACGCTTGTGTGTGAGTGCAAAACGCGCCAAAGCCCGAAACTGAAAGCGAGACGTGACTTTTAAGAGGCTGTTTCATATGGATTTATTAATCATTCTTACTGTTCAGTGAACACAAACTGCCGTAGTTTATTGAAGACGAGAACTCCTCACAGCACGACAGTTGCGTGCCTTCAGCAGACCTCCTCATTCCTGCAGCACGAGAGCATTATGATTGTTTATGAGCGCCAAAAGTAGCGGATCTGTTGACTACTATTTGACTTCATGTCACTGCATATCAAACCGACTGACTAGATAAATCTCCACTGTGCTGCTGAGTGAGAGGGCTTCTCACTGAACAACGCAGCAGCGATGACGTAAGCGTGCCGAGGCCCATTTGTGGTGTGAGTGCGGGCCGTCGGGGGAGACGGGAGGGGGGACAAGCGTGCTTTGGCCCGGTTCGAGGCAACTGTACCTAGTGTGAGTACGGCCTTAGACATACTCTGACAGGCACGTGGGAATGGTGGGCGGGGATAACTACTATTAAAGGCATGGGCAACAAAAACAGCTACGCTGTGTTCAGAGCAGAAAATTTCAATATTCTGAAAGCTTTAATAAATAATGTGATTGTTGTTTTGAGTTGAAACTTTACAGACAGATTCTGGAGACACAAAAGACTTTTCTTAAATTTTGAAAAAGGGGTAAAATAGGTGCCCTTTAATGTAATGTGAAGGATTTGGCCTTAAATGGATAGGTCAGACAAAAAAAAAATAGTAAAAGAAAAGTTAAATTATTCACCCTCAGGCTGTATGTGCAAGATTTAGTTGACTTGTACCTTCAGAAGAACATTTAAAGATGGTTTAAAACTGAATTGGTGGTCTTTTGTGACTCGTAAAATGCAAATCAATAGCTACCAGCATTTTGAAAGTGATTAAAATATATATACAGTCAAAACACAATTAATACCTGAGGCTCCTGATGATGTTGAGGGTTTAGGCAAAACAATAAGTCCACAATAAGAAGCAATGAGAAACTGCACCTTTATAGTTAATAATTTTGTAAATAATTACTTTTTTATTTAGTTATCAGCCAAAAGAATTAAACATCTTAATTTTTAGTTGAAGTTGTTGAACTAATTGTTTAAACAAAGTAAATGTTTAATTTTGCAATGTTTTATTAGGATTATTTGGTAATCACCATTAATTGAAATTATACTTGTATAGTATATTTGATCTGCAGTATTTTCTCATTTAAGTGTTTAAGTATTTATGACAAACATCTCCTTTAAGTTAAGGACAAATGCCTTCAATTTATTTTGTATGTTTTATATGTATGTGAAATGTATAAGTAAATTTAGTTCTGATGTATTTATTACGTTTTTTTTTTTTCAGATTCGCATTGACAAACTGGTGGATAAATGGTCTGGTTCCATTGAGATTGGAGTGACAACCCACAACCCAAATAATCTTGATTACCCCGCAACAATGACCAATTTGCGCTCAGGTACACACATTGTAATTCAGTCATATATAATCAAATCACAATTGTTTACAGAACTTTCACAATGTACACTACCGGTCAAAAGTTTGGGCTCAGTAGGATTTTTAAATGTTTTAAAATAAGCCTCTCCTGCTTACCAAGGCCGCGTTTATTTAATCAAAAATACAGTGTAAATTGTGAAATGTTATTGCACTATAAAATAACTGTTCAAAAGTAGTTTATAATTTAATTTAATATTTTATTTTAAAGAAGAAATTTCAGCTTCGTTACTCTAGTCTTCAGAGTCACATGATCCTTCAGAAATCACTCTAATAGTAATTATTATTATTATTATTATTATTATTATTATTATTATTATTATTATTATTACTATTGTGGTAATAAAAGCAATAATGACTGGAGTAATAATTTAATTTGATAATACATACAATAAGAAATAAATAAATATTTAATAAATACGTATTTAACTTTTTTTTAAATTTTTTTTTACATTAAATCAATTCTACCTTGATGAACAGAATAATTTTCCTAAAAACAAAACATGAAAAAAATGACCCCAAACTTTTGACTGGTAGTGTACCTATCAGGCATATATGTCCAATCACTCTCTATAAATAACTAAATTGTGGTATTCATTGCTTTTTTTTGTCTTTAAGGCACAATAATGATGAGTGGCTGTGGGATTTTAACCAATGGGAAAGGGACTCGTCGGGAATACTGCGAATTCAGCCTGGATGAACTACAGGTAATTTGACTGATCTGATCCATAGTACTCAAGATGGCATGATTTATTTATACACAACAAGACCACAATTACTTATTTTTGCTGATGTCATTTATAGGAAGGAGATCACATTGGGCTGATGAGGAAAGCCAGTGGAGCACTGCACTTCTACATTAATGGCATTGATCAAGGTGAGACTGGTTTAGACATATAGCCTTGAGCGGGTATTCCCAAACTTTTTTATTCCAGGACCCACCTAGGCAAGTAATTCAATCTCAAGACCCACCATAATATTTCAATATGGATTTATGGGTAAAAAAAAATGTATCCATTTAAAGCAGTCAAAAATTTATGGTGTGTGGCTTTTTGGATTTTGCGATTTGATATGCACAAGATGAGGCTCGAAGTACTTTTTGTTGGATGCTGGCTGTAACTCTGATAATTTTTTGTTGAAAAAGATACTCTTCTTTTTTTAGAAGAGAATATGATCAACCTTTGATCAAGCCCCATCACATCGCAGTAAATTCCACTGCTAGTGTATAGTCATAAGAAACTAAATAGCTTTTTGATCGACTACTACAAGCTGGGACAACGTTAGATAAATATGTCAATGCAATTAACATTATTGCTGAATAGATCTAGTATTTACACATTTGCTTTAGGAAGGAATGATGGGGTAGTTACATTACTATTACTATTTTCCATAACATCTATGCCCTTCCATAACATTAGGTGACGTTAAAACTAACAGATAGCACTATAGCTATTTATTGATTAGCAATCTGTCAACGTTGGGATGTAAAAAATATGGGACAACATATAGCTTCAAATGATAGAATACATAGCAAACATTAGAAACTATTGACAATAAAATAAAAGGTTTAGCCTAATAAAATCAATGACCTATCCAGAAATTAAATAAAGCTATAAAATCTATTTCACTTTTAATTGTATTGAAAATTAGTAGTGTTTAAAATAAAACACGCAGGACGGAGCAAAAAAAATTTAAAAATTAAAAAAACACCAAAAAAGCAAAAAGCACTTTTCCGACGGTCCCTTACTGAGAGCTCCGCTCAACGCAAGTTCTGCTGGCTAAACGCAGATTGCGAGGGCTCAAACGGAGCAGTGCTTGTAATGTCGAGCGGAAAAAAAAAGAAAAAGACAGCTGTGAAACTTAACTAGCTTTGTCTTTTTGTAGGAAACACACTTTGGGCTCTATTTTGACGGTCCATGCGCAGAGCGCAAAACGCAGGGCTCAAATGCTTTCTGGGCGTGTCAGAACGCATTTTTGCTAACTTAATGACGGAACAATCAGCTTTGCGCCATGGCGCATGGTCTAAAGGGGTTGAGTTTATTTTTTTAATGAGTTATAGGTGTGTTTTGAGAGTAAACCAATTAGAGTCTCATCTCCCATTACCTTTAAGAGCTAGCTGCATCGTGCCATAAGCGCATTGCTATTAACATGACGTAAAGTAAGTTCACTTTCGCTTTTGCTCTCGTGGATAGGGAAACCTTACCGCACAGACATCAGTTAGCCTATAAATAATTAATTTCGTTTGTTAAGCGCAAAGATTTGTTTCAAAACTATTTCTAAATTCAGTTCTAATTTCCAGCAAATGAATAAATGATTAATAATAATAAAGTGTGGTCAAAATACTGAGTTATTTCCAAATACACCTGCTATGCCCCATATGGTCTAAAACCTGACAGGTGGACAAATCTAAGCTTGTTTTTAATAAAACAAATATAAATATGGATATAATAAATAATACTGCTAATAATAATAACAATATATAAAAGCAAATTGAATGAACTGAAAAAGCCTCCCGAGATGAAGAAAGTATAAAGGCAGTGGTTTATATTTATATCCTATATATCCTTATTATATATATTTTTAAGATATTATATCTTTTTCATATGTAAAGATATTTGCGTATTGCTCTACATCTTGTGTGTAGTGTGTAAGCCAGGCGCACTCTGCGCCAGACAATAGACCGACTTTGTTCTGGTCTAATGAACAGACTATTTACAGTTTTTCAAAATAGCAACGCGCCAAAACACGATTGCTTTTTTAGACCAGAACGCATATGGGCGCACATTTGAGTGCAAATGCATTTGCTATTTAAACAGTGTGGCGCAACACCTCAAAATGACCCTTGCGCCAAGCTTAAAGTAGTAAAAGACTATTGCGCCGTGCCACATTGCGCCGGGTGTATGATAGGGCCCTTTATTTTTAGGGTAAGATGTTTTTGAGTTATTGCCGTCAATCGTACTGGTTTTGATTCACCGCAATGTGAATATAGCTGCAGCTATGTGACGTTGCGCGACCCACAGTTTGAAAACCCCTGGCCTAGAGGGAACATTGAAAACAGGTCAAGCTGGGTTTTGTCAACATGTACATCATATTTTCTAAATATATGACCAAACAGCTGTAAATAAATAATGAAAGATGGCCCAGAAATGAGCCTTAGGAAAAGCCAGTAGCAGACAAATTAGATTGAATTTGTTAGTGCAATCAGAAGGATGCGATCTAAATCAAGATTGGATATAGGTTTATATGTATGTTTCTTTATTTTCTTGTTGATTTGTGGCCATAAATACACAAACATAGGTTGTACATTTTTTAATTTTTTAAGATTGATTGAGACAACATAATTGTGAAGTTGGTTTGATAGGATAGGGGTAGGATTAAATCAGCATAAGACATTCTGTTTCTTCCACCTTCTTTTTGGACATGTGTTGATAATTATTGTTCTGTTTTGTTTTGTATTGTTGTTTTTGTTTTGTTTATTCTTGATCTTGATATTAGTTCAGGTAATTTTCAAAATAAAAGCCCCAGATGAAAACTCATGTCTCAAATGACAGAACAGTTTTTTGCATTTTTTTTACACGTTGGAAATGAGGTCACAACAAACAAGAGCGACACATTACACGTTAAGAGATTCAAACACAAATTTTTCTAAACTACATTTCTGCATTGATTTTATAGGGGTTGCAGCCAACCAGACACCTGGCGTAGTGTATGGAGTGGTGGATCTCTATGGCATGGCGGTTAAAGTCACCATTGTGCACAACCATAACCACAGTGATCGGTTGCGCCGCAATAACGCCATCATGAGGGCACTGTCACCTGACGTGGGTCGACCCCGGCCTGCACTCTCATTAACCCCTGAGCCTGATATCCCAGACCGCTTGCTCTTCCATCCAAATTGTGGGCAGAAGGCTGCAATCATCAGCGATGGACGGACTGCTTTACGACCTCAGTGAGTTAACTGAATCCCAAAATTGCTCTGTTTAATTGACGTGAAGGGGCAGTTCAATAAAATGTTGTTCTCTGGTGCAGTGCGACGGATGACTTCAACCATGGTGTTGTGCTTAGCAATCGTCCATTGCACTCCAATGAGGTTTTCCAGGTGCGCATTGACAAAATGGTGGACAAATGGGCTGGCTCCATAGAGATTGGTGTGACGACTCATAACCCTGCCTATCTTCAGTTACCATCAACTATGACCAACCTGCGCTCGGGTAAGATGCCTAAACAGTTACGCAAAAGGTCACAAATGAAAGAACAGCTGACTGATTAGTGTCTGTGATTTCAAGGCCACGTCAAATGTAAAATGTATGAGTATTAGCTAATCTTTTGCTTTGCTATCTCCACAGGAACCTGGATGATGACTGGAAATGGGGTCATGCACAATGGAACTACAATTCTGGATGAATATGGGCACAATTTGGACCGTCTAAAAGTGAGTTTAAAGCCCAGCTCAAACTTTTTGCTTTTTTTTTTTCAGATATTTTGAGAAAAATAACATTTAAAAACTTGTGTCAGTGTGAATCTGTATTTTCTTAATGAAATTGTGTAACTAAAAGGAGTATCTTCAGACAGCTGTTTATACATATGCTACATATTACATTATTACATGATAACAGGGTGTCCGCAGGTTCTTAAAAAGTATTAAAACATCATAAATCGATTTAGAGTTCAAGACCCTTAAAAAGATACAAATTTCTTAAATGCTTTTTTACTTGGTATTAAATTTTGTATAATTTTTTTTGTTGTACAATGTATAGTTGTATGCTAAAGTTTGCCTGAATTTAATCTCCAAAAATTGCGGTGCTATGTAGTTTATAGACCTTTTTTCATGGAACACAAGATTACTCATTATGCTTTGCATGTATGCGTAAGGAGGATGCTCTGAACTTTCAGTTGGCAGCTTGATGACACATTTGGATAGCTTTGAAACATTGGTTTTAATCTATTTTACTTGCTTTTAACATCTTTGAACTAATACTGCTGTTGATCAGGGCCACTTTCTAGACTGATCGTTTAAAAAAAATTGGTGTAATGGAAATTGAAACAGCTGCTGTGAGTCATTTTACCCCCACTCAGATGGCATCTTGTGCCATTTAAACAGACCATCATCATCATCTGTAAAGTGAACGTTTTTCCTTTTTTATGTGTAACCAACCCAAACAAATGTAATTTACCTAAATGTTTGACACACGTACGTACTGTCCCACTAACATGTTGAAATTTATTTTCACTAAATAAAAATAAAGCCCCATTTTGAAATTACAGAAAAACACATACCAGGTAAATACTAGATGGTCACACTTTACAATAAGGTTCATTAGTTAATGTTAATGAATGCATTTACTAACATGAACAAACAATGAACAATACATTTACTACTGTATTTGTTCATGTTAGGTAACGTTAGTTAATGAAAATACAGTAGTTCATTGTTAGTTGATGTTAACTCACGGTGCATTAACTAATGTTAACAAGCATGGACTTGGATGTAAATAATGCATTAGTAAATGCAAACTAAATAAATGAAACATAAACTGCTCCTGATTAGAATCAACATGCAAATCAGCCAGCATAATATCAGTAACATACTTTTATTAGTCAAGAACACTTACACTGTATTTCAACATCTTATCTGATGGCAGACACTGGATTAGGAGACCGTTTTTCTCTCATGATTGAACCGTATCTGACACAAGCATAACAGCTTTATAACGAGAATAACCAGCTGAAAAAAGCATCCTATTGGAAAACACTGGTTGCAATGGTGCCCTCCATGCATCATAGACTGTCTATAGACCCTTTTCACAAGACTGTTGTCACATCTGTCAGTGACCACCTGAGGGCGCTGTAGTTCAGTGGACACTGAGTGAAACTACAGCGCCCATAAAGACTACATTTCCATACATTCTTTCGTGCACACACCCGGTCTGTCATTTACATTGATTACAACCACAGCTGTCTCCATTCTCCGTGATTACCAGGACTATATATTCAGTCATTCAACCACAGTTTGTCATCGCGTCGTTTGTCTTTCTTGTAACCAGTAAGTCTGTATTTCCTAGTTGTTGTTCCTGATCCTGCCTCGTATCTTGCTTTAGTCTAGTTCATGTTTATCTGTCTTAGTTTCTTGTTTTGTTGTTTATTTGTTACTTTGCACTTTGATATTTTTGGATTTTGTTCACTGTTTTTGCACTTTAATATATTAAAATCTGCACTTGAATCCGCTTTCTTTTGTTCCCGTTTTGTTGCTGTTTTGATCACGCCTAACGTGACAGAACGACGCGATCAACATGGATTCAGCTGATAATATTTTAGTGCGAATAAAGCAGGGTAACCGCTCCGTTGAACGTTTTGTTAAGGAGTTTTTGGATCTGGCCCCAAGCAGTACTTTTAGCGATTTACTGCTAATGATGTTTTTTCGGGGAGGACTTTTAGAACCCGTCCGCTCCCAGATGCCAACATATGAGGAGGAGTGGAGCCTTTATCTTTTTATGGAACATGCACTGTTGATTTCTGGCTCCCCTCTCTCAATCACCCTGGTGGAGCAGAACCCTCAGGAGGGAGGCCTGAGGGGTAATCAAAATCTGTTCTCGAGGCCGGCGGATCTATCTGCGGGAGGGAGGGAAAGAGCTGTTTTGAAGTTGCGGACTTATCCGCATCGGGCTGTGCGGAGACCACCCTTCTCTGAGCCTCTGGAGAGGCTCCTGGAACTCTGTGAAACCCCAGTGTCTGCTCCAGTCCCTCAGCGCCCGCCAGTGTCGGTTCCAGTCCCAGAGCATGCTTCTCTTCCAGTTTACAACGCTCCTCCTAGTACTCAGATGATCAGACGGAGGACGCGCAGGAAGAGGACTGCGCATACCCCAGAGCGCCCGCCAGTGTCGGCTCCAGCCCCCGAGCGCCCGCCAGTGTCGGCTCCAGCCCCCGAGCGCCCGCCAGTGTCGGCTCCAGCCCCCGAGCGCCCGCCAGTGTCGGCTCCAGCCCCCGAGCGCCCGCCAGTGTCGGCTCCAGCCCCCGAGCGCCCGCCAGTGTCGGCTCCAGCCCCAGAGCGCAGTACAGTGCCGGTTCCAGTCCGGCTCCTGGCTTTACCGGCGCCACCCAGGCTCCTCGCCCTGCCGGCGCCACCCAGGCTCCACGCCCTGCCAGCCCCAGCCCGGCTCCTGGCTTTACCATCACCATCCAGAAGTCTTGCCCTGCCGGCACCTCCCAGACGTCTTGCCCTGCCACCCCCAGCCCAGCTCCTTGCCCTGCCGGCTTCAGTCCGGCTCTTTGCTCTACCGACCTCGCTCGGGCTCTTTGCTCTGGCGGCTCCAGTCCAACCGGCTCCTGTCCCGCCGGCTCCAGCCCAGCTGCCTCCTGTCCCGCCGGCTCCAGCCCAGCTGCCTCCAGTCCCGCCGGCACCAGCCCAGCTGCCTCCAGTCCCGCCGGCACCAGCCCAGCTGCCTCCAGTCCCGCCGGCACCAGCCCAGCTGCCTCCAGTCCCGCCGGCACCAGCCCAGCTGCCTCCAGTCCCGCCGGCTCCAGTCCAGTTGCCTCTCCAGCTGGCTCTCCTGGACTCCCCTGCCTTGTGTTTTCTGCAGGATCCTCCGTGGGTCATCCCTCCTGCCCCTCCCTGGTGGCCCTTACCATTGTTTGGGACGGATTCCCCAGCTGCACCCTGGCTTCCTGCCAGGTGCCTGACCCACAGACTCACCCTGATCTGGTCCTCCCATCCCTCCCTTTGTTCCTGCTCCGCTCTGCCCCCCCCTCTGGGAACTTGTCTGGGAGCGTCTGGAAGCCGCTCTTTAGAGGGGGGGTAATGTCACATCTGTCAGTGACCACCTGAGGGCGCTGTAGTTCAGTGGACACTGAGTGAAACTACAGCGCCCATAAAGACTACATTTCCATACATTCTTTCGTGCACACACCCGGTCTGTCATTTACATTGATTACAACCACAGCTGTCTCCATTCTCCGTGATTACCAGGACTATATATTCAGTCATTCAACCACAGTTTGTCATCGCGTCGTTTGTCTTTCTTGTAACCAGTAAGTCTGTATTTCCTAGTTGTTGTTCCTGATCCTGCCTCGTATCTTGCTTTAGTCTAGTTCATGTTTATCTGTCTTAGTTTCTTGTTTTGTTGTTTATTTGTTACTTTGCACTTTGATATTTTTGGATTTTGTTCACTGTTTTTGCACTTTAATATATTAAAATCTGCACTTGAATCCGCTTTCTTTTGTTCCCGTTTTGTTGCTGTTTTGATCACGCCTAACGTGACAACTGTTATGGCACTGGTCATCATAATCTTAAATCCTTGAAAGTTTTTAATATTTTGATATAAATAAAAAAAAAAAACATATGAATGTATTAAATCATCTTTGTGTCAAATTACAAAAAACAAATTACCGCTTAATGCAGCATCTATGGGACTGAGAGTGAATTTTTATGTTATTCTCTACTCTGACTGCCGTCATCAGTTTTACACAATTTCTTTCCTTTTTTCTAAAAGTCTGTATAACACCATCAAGGAGTTTATCTTTTATTATTTTAGCAAATAGGATTGTAAAAAAATTTTTTTTTGTATTCTCTCATTTACTGTGCTCTTGAGTTTACCCAACTTTGACGCCTTCCGCCTCTGAGAAAACTGGAAATGTGAAAAGAATGTATAAAGTCTTGCTAGATTTAATATCACGCTGCTTTTTTACTGCAGTAACCAAGTTGACTTGGTTATTTCTCCAAGTGTTAATTCTCCAATTCTATTGGTGCCTCCTGCTGGATTCAAATTTTTATTCAAGATTATACAACAAAAGTACTGCAAGTTAAAAAGTCACCAATGTTACCAGTTGAAACCTGAAGTGGTTATGAGGTCTTAAAAAGTATGGGAATAGTCTTAAAAGAGGTGCTAAGAGTTGAATTTCAGTCTTTGGTTCCTTTATATACACTGTAGTTGTATTATTAATAATAGTAACAATAATAATAATAACAACAATAATAAAGTTTATTCGTATAGGCACTCTTCACAATACAAATGGTCACCTTTCAAAGACAACACAGATTTCATCCTAAACAACACCTGAGGTACAGGCTTAAAAGTATGCAGCATCATAAAGAGACCTTTAAATAGACATGTTTTTTAGATAAAGATAGATATTTTTGTCTTTTAGAGAGTTTTCTAGGATATATATTGACTATATTGAGTATAATTTCACAAGATATAGTGAATAGCTCTATTTGGAAATAATTCAAAATTTTAAATACATTGGGATGATTTTGTTAGGGAGTGGACCTGCTTAACCAATCAAGTGTAAGCATTGATAAATACAGTAGAGCAAAGACACAAATAAAGACGTTCTAGACTTTGCGCATCATCTTAATTTGGCTATTGAAGGGTTTTACATATATTTCATGTGAATGTCTGCAGGCTGGAGATACGGTGGGAGTTGTCCGAAAGGAAGATGGGAGTTTGCATTTCTTTGTGAATGGAGTGCCTCAAGGTCCTGCTGCCTGGAATGTTCCGCCCAACGTGTATGCAGTAGTGGATCTGTATGGACAGGCTGCTCAGGCCACCATCATGGATGATATGGGTGAGAGCAATAAAGATGGCATAGAAATTAATGGATGGTAGACACCTTGAAATAAGGCTGAATGGTATTAGAAACAAACTCCAATATTAATATGAAAGTGTTTAAAAAGTAAAAGCACATTATCTTCTGTGTTATTCAGCAAAGACAAACAATAAAACATTATATAGTATGACCACCACAATATTAATGTGTTGTGTGTCAAAGTTGTTGAATATATTTTCCTAAAAATAGATATTTGACACACGGCCACACAAATTAAAAACAATCATAGTTTTAGTTTTAGCAGTTTTAAAGGGAGTCCTGCCATCATTTACCCTTCTCTTTAAAACCTATTTGAGCTTCATTCCCCTGTTTAACACAAAAGAAGATATTTTGAAAAATGCTGCTAGCTGGCACCCATTCATTTCTATTGCCAATTGTTGTCCTTCTATGGAAATCACTGGGGGCCAGAAGCCAGCATTCTTCACAGTATCTTCTTTTGTGTTTAACAGAAGAATGAAACTCATAAATGTTTAAAACCTCATGAGATGATTTTTTTTTTTTGACAGTTTCTACAACGATGTCTTATATGTCAATATAATTACATCAGCAACAATTCATTTCTGCAACAGTTTGTTGGTGCAAAAATGAAAGAATACTCAATAGCTACACATATTTACCAGATGTCGTAAACTTATCATATACAAAGCAGAAGTGAAAAGTGAAATTTAAAGGTGATTTCAACGTCTCCTTGATGCAAGCAATAAGGATTGCACAATATTTTTTTTCATCATCAATATCGCAATGTTGATCATAGTCACATTGTGAGTATAGTACGCAATGTTAGTCTGGATAAAAATTAAACATTTTGCAAGTTTTTTTTTAAGGCCTGTGTGATGGTTATAAATGGGAAATCGTTAATTTGATTAAATTGTTTATACAATGAAGACTTTATATTTGATTATTACATTTCTGTACATCTACATACAGTTCGACTTTTTGGGTGAACAATAAAACGATGTTTATTTAATTTTTATTTTTTTCTTGATTGAATTTATTCACTCTTGCAGATTGTTTATTATATTTCATGCATTACACATCTCAGTCAATCTAAAATTATTAATTCTTTCCAAATATTTATTCAACTCATCTAGTGAAATTGCATTCATATCGCAATATATATCGCAGAATAAGAAACATCCCAATGTTAGATGTGTCCAATATTGTGCAGCCCTACAAGCAATATGGAACTTCTTAATATCTCGGTGTAATGTATAATAATCCCAATAATATCTAAAAGTACAGAAATCTGTAACCTGTTTTTTTTTTCCTCTGAAAACTGCTTTAAGTTTCATAGCATCTCGTGACCACAATGTACTCGGAGCCTTTTAGTTTGTGATACCATTGCAAATACTTTAAATTGTTCACCCTACACTGAAATTGCTAAGTGTCTACAGACCTTTAATAATAAAAAAATCTCTCTATTTTTCAGCTGATCTCCCTCCTTTGCCTGACGACAGCTCAGAGGGTCCCACTGCCATGTCTCCTGGTAGCCCGTGTTCAATTTCAGGAGCCACAGCTGCAAATGACCTGCGCTTTCATCAGCTGCATGGCACTAACGCAGTCATCACCAACGGTGGCCGAACAGCACTTAGGCAGAACTGCCGCAGCGAGTTTAATGATGCCATCGTCATTTCAAACAGGTTACTTTTGATTTAGCATGAAACCTTAAGGACTGTTAGATCCTGCTGCTTGATCTTAATAGATAAGGCATTAATATTTTATGCTTGTGTGTCTGTTTTAATAGGTGCCTTCGAGAAGGAGAGCTCTTTGAAATTGTGATTCAGAAAATGGTGGATCGCTGGTCGGGGTCTATAGAAGCAGGTCAGTTATTATGAAAGGACATGATTCAGTGAAGAAATAACACAGATTCACTAAAGAAATGCAGTTAGTTGGCAAAAGAAATAACCAGTGATTCCACATAACTTGTTTACTTATAATTGAACCATTTATTCACTTAATACAGTGCTTCCCACTGGTTTGAAATATACTTCCGGTGATATCCGGATTGAAACACACCATTTATCCACATTACATAATTAGTTACCTATATACACTATTCAGGAGCCACGTGCACAATTAAATATGCAAAAAGTATGCAAAAGATGTAAAAAGCAAACTTGAATGCCAAAGCATTTTAGATATATATATATAAATAGCCTATGTAATATATTACCATCATCAAATTAATAAAATAATTAGCAAATGAGAAATAAATGACAGAAAAGGGAATAAAACAGACAATATCGCCAAAATATCAATTACAAGATAAAAATTACTTAAATAAGGCAAATGTGTTGATTAACCATTACTAATGGTGTAGGCTACATATATTTTGCAGCCAGTTTAGACCAGTCATTTTCATCCTCTCGAAGTATATAGTAAAGTTTTTACTCGTCGTTTCTGAACGATTCATTTAATCGGGGATCACCAAACTTGTTCCTGGAGGTCCGGTGTCCTGCATATTTTAGCTCCAACCCTAATCAAACACACCTGAACAAGCTAATCAAGTTGTGCACAGTGTCAGCTGTGAAGCAAGTGGAAAGTAGTCTTTAATAAAAGAGTAATTCAAAAACGCATATGAGCTTTAGAAAGTGAAAGCGAAAGCAAAAGTTAAATCACTGACAATTTAGGAGATTTACAAACTTGGGCAAGATGAATTTTTCAAGTCAGAAAAAGGCGTGTCTCTGTGGGTCTGCAAAGCACGTGAGACTGTCTGTGTGAGTGCTGACAAGTTTTACACAGAATGAAACGGGTAAACAAGAGAAGATTTTTCACTACTTAATCGATTGTGGATGTTTGGTTATATGGGGTCAATGCAAAAAAGTGTAAAAGATATTAATAGTAGTTAAAAAACAAAGTGTCACTTTTATTATACTTGGACGGCCGTTAATATACCTGGGAGCCCTACCCAAGTATAGTCTATGTGTGGGAAGCATTGTCATGCCCCTGATTTACTAAAGAAATATGACTGGTATGTCAACGACAATAGCTTAGTGGTTAAGTGTGCCAACATATAGCACCATGGTGCTCAAATCAACCCGAGTTTGTTACCTGGCTGAAGGTCCTTTGTCTGTCCTTTCTCTCTCTCTGCTTCTAATGCTCTCCTGTCTGAAACCTCCACTATCTTATCACAATAAAAAAGGTCCCCTAAAGACCCCTAAAAATATTTAGAAAAAAATAAATACCACAGATTTACTAAAGAAAGACCAATATAATTCATAAATAAATATTGCTTGTTTCCTGAAGAAATAATAATAATATATTGTCCATATTGTACTCACTGTTTCATTAACTTTTCTTAGTTACTAAATATCCATCTTATCCAAGGATATATTAAAACCATTAAAGAAATACAAGTGTTTAAGTGCCAGTGTTTTATTAAAGAAACACCACTGAATCAATAAAAAGAAATTTGCTAAAGTAATACCGTGGATTCATTATGAAATACTTCAGATTCTCTTCGAAATGCCACTGATTTGTAAAAGTTGAAAATAATAAAGAAATACCAATTGCTACAGAAACACCAATGACTGACTTCAGTAATATCTCTGATTAATTAAGGAAATATCACTAATTTAGTACAGCAGTTCCTCTAATGTATAAAGAAACAAATTCATTTTTTGTAGCACTGATTCACTAACAAAATACAAAAATCTCAACAAAAATCTTTTAAAGAAAAACCACTAGTTCAGATTTACTGAATGGGAATCAGCATCATCTCAGATCAATAGAAATTCCTCAGATTCTCTTAAGAAATACAACAGATTCATCAATAGTCTTTGATTCATTACAGTAGTTTGGTTCATAAAAGTAGTTTTTTTTTTTTTTAAATCTGCTTATAAAAAAACCTATTTAGACTGAAATGTTTATTTTTTCTCGTAGAAGAATCAAAAACATTGATAAAGCTAAAATAATTAGTTTTTTTTTTCAATAACTGTGTATCAATACTTATATGATAATAGTAGAAATAAATGGAACTATGTTAATAAAAACTTGGTTTTCAACACCGTTTCATGTATCCATGCACAGGAGTGACAGCGATCAGACCCGAAGAACTGGAGTTTCCAAATACGATGACTGACATTGACTATGACACATGGATGCTGAGGTGAGCTGCTTGATGGAAACGCCAAGATGCGCTTAAATTTTTTAAATGTACATAAAAAACATATGAGCAAAACTGAGGAGGAAGAACATTTTATTCGATAAGAAAAGATGCGCATAAACTACGATGGGAACACTTTTACTGAACAAATTCCAGTACAGGCATTTAAAAAAGTCATGTGATTTTATAAGAGATCATGTGATCGTAAAAATGTGTGTGAATGGATAAACCAGCAGGCTGAGCACATCATTAAACATCGGAAATGTTGTTTGGGTCATTTTAAAACAACTTAATCATTTCAGTATTAGTGTTATTATATTTTGAATTACCTCCAGAACAGTTAAGAGTGTCTATGCTCTGCGTGTCATGCCTTCAAATCCTACCGCATGTTTACTGCATGTCTGGATTGCCTTCTGAGGCGCAAGTCCTTTATTAAATGAAGAAAAGATTGATGCAGCTTCTCCCACTACAGAAAAATCCGCTTTTACTGTTAATATTTGGCGCCAGTTAATCAGGAAGTGACCATTTTGTTCTCTTTGACTCGTTGGACAGAAATGCTGCTTTTATTCGCACATCTATTATACGATATTCCAGTTTTGCGCGTAAAATTAATTCCTATTTTTGGATGGAATTATAGCTATTGTTATACAAAGGCTTATGTTGTACAAGTATACAAGTTGTTCAAGTACTTTTGTTGTCAGACCAGATACCTGACATCTGTCTTCACTCTATCTTATCTGTAGCGGCACAGCAATCATGCAGGATGGCAATACCATGAGAAATAACTATGGCTGTGACTTAGACTCTCTGACTACTGCCTCCAGGATTGGGATGATGCGAACAGCAACTGGAGACCTGCATTACTTCATCAACGGCCTCGACCAGGGTGTAGCTTGTACTGGGCTGCCATCAGGTAATTTTCAGCTAGCTTACCAAACGTAATGCAGCGCTGTTATTTTACATCTTAATAATGTATTTTGTCCTCCTGATTTGATTTCTTGTGTATGTGTGTGTTTTGTTTTTTTAGAAGTGTATGCTGTGGTCGATCTTTATGGTCAGTGTGTGCAAGTGTCCATTACAAGCTCATCCGGTCCACTGGACAACAGTCTGTGTACCAGTAACATCACAGAAAAGAGCTTCCCCATACACTCCCCGGGTATTGTATTATCACAGTAATCTTTTAAGGCAGTAATACTTTTAAAAGAATGCAGATTATGCAAAAATGAACATTTTCTAATGAGTTACTCACCGTCAGGACATAAAAGATGCAAGTGATGTTTTTCTTCAGTAGAAAATTAAAGAGCATTGTTTGCTGAAGCTTTGAGAGAAAAAAACAAACATATACAGTCAAAGCAAGAGTGTCTTAAACAGTCAAAACAAAATATCAAATGTCTGTCATGAACGCAGTCAGGAATTTTTGCAGAGGCTGTGGATTAAAGGTAATAATGTTGAAAGAAATTTGAAATCAATCTTGAGGTTTCCTGCATATACTGATTGTTTTGTTTCATAAGACCTCAGTGTATAACCAGGTGCCACGGATGATAATTCTGCATTGCCTGTGTTTGTTTTTTGATTGTCAAAATGACACTAGCCGAATTACAGTAGTTGAATCCTCAATGACCACAGGGTTTCTATGAGTTTTAAAAAAGTCTTAATTGGCTTTTTATTGAATTAAACCCTTTAAAAAAAGAATCGCTCTGTTCCCATGTCTCTTGATGATGGTATATCATAGCTAAATATTATATAGGCATATATATATATATATATATATATATATATATATATATATATATATATATATATATATATATATATATATATATATATATATATATATATATATAGCTATTTTCACTGTTTATAATGTCTAGGGAGCACATGAAGAGTTGTGTTTATAGCAACTTGTTTGACAGCATTGTCATAGAAGTATATAGATACTATATACAATGGGTCTGATGAGAAGCAAAAGTTATTTTTACACTCAAGTGGTTGAATAAGTCATATTTAAACCTTAACATACTTTTAACATAAAAAAAATATTTAGTTTTTTTTTCGTTAAAATGTTGCTATAAACACAACTCTTTATGTTTGCCCTAGAAACCATAAATTGTTCTCAACAGTATTGTTTTTACTTTAGATTTTTTCCCCTGATTATTTTTTTAAAAATGTTTGGTTGGTTTTAAAGAGTCATAAATATATATTAAATAAACCCTCATAAAACTTACAGAAACCCTGAACCAGTATCAGCTACAAATGTTACTTAAAGTGTTACTGAAGAAGAAAAAAAGTCTCCTAAATTTTTAATTAGGGACTTGAGAGAATGATTTAATTACAGAATCTTTTATGTTGAAATTTAATAAACTATTAAACTTTTTTTAGTTTTAGTTTAAGTAAACTGCTGTTTTAAGATTGGAAAAACTGCTTTAAAATTATCAATACACCCCCCCCCCCCCCCCCCCCCCCTTTTGTTGTGTTTTACTTTTCTCTTTTGTATGTATTTTTGTCACTAATTTCATTTGTAGTCTCACCTTCCCCTCCTTTTTTTATATTTATTTTGTTGCTCTTATTATTTTGTTAGTTTCTTGTTATGATATTTGTTCTTGTTTTTTTAATAAAACTAATAAAAAAACAATATTTAAATGACTAAGATGGATAATTAACAGCTTGTTTAAGATCTATGCCTGCTGTCAGTTGTAAATGGGATGTCTTTTTCTCTCTAGTGGCAGGAGTAGCTCATCGCCTGCACAGTAAACATGGTAAAAACGTGGTGTTATTAGGAGATGGATGCCAAGCGCTGAGGGTCGGAGGTTATGCCCATGGAATTGTCTTTAGTGCAAAAGAGCTCAAAACAGATGAAGTGTTTGAGGTAAGATACAGGACATGCTTTAATTCACAACTATACATTCTGAAATCAGATAATAATGTTGTTTTTATATATGGGACTGGTGTTTTTCAGGTGAAAATTAACAAGGTGGATGAGAGGTGGTCTGGTTCTCTTCATGTGGGGCTGACCACCCTGCAGCCCCCTGACCTGCCATCATGCCCTCTCAGCGGCCTCTCGCCTTCACTCACTCAGCTCAGGACAAAGGTCACCTGGGTGCTGGCCGGCTCTGAGGTCAGACGCAACGGAGTACTGCAGAGACAGAACTATGGCTGCTCTCTGGATCGCCTCACGGTACGAAATGCAGGTTCACACTTATGAAAGGAACTATAGAGGTCAATCATCATTCTAATTTTATAGCAGAGGACACTTTAAATCTCTGAAAACACAAAGCAACTCTGTCCTTGGAATCAATTTCATAAAGCATGATAAGAGCATTGACCAATCAGAAACATCTGACTTTACAGAGTATTAGTATTAAGGGAAACTGCAGAATGTGCATAACAGAAGTATAGTTTATGCTGTGAACATTAATATTGTAAGTAAGTAAGTAATGTGGACTTATTATGTACTTATGGGCAAACACCTAAAGCGCTTCACAATCATAAGAGATGTCTCTCCACACTACCACCAGTGTGCAGCATCCACTTGGGTGATGCGATTACAGCCACAGGACAACGGCGCCAGTACGCTCACCACACACCAGCTATTGGTGGAGTGAAGAGACAGTGATACTGTCAATTCGGTGGATGGGGATGATTGGGAGGCTATGATCATAAGGGCCAACGGAGGAAATTTGGTCAGGACACTGGGGTTACACTTCTGCTCTTTAAAGGTTCACGAAACCCTCGAGTACTTTTTTTGAGATTTTAACAGGTTTGTGTGTGTTGAGCATCAGTTAAGACAATGTTAGCACCTGTCAGCTTCTGTTGTGAGAAAAACCGGATAATTTTGAGCTTTTGTCAGGTAATTTCATCTTCCGGGTTTAAAATGATTTTTGGGGCGGGATCAAAATCGGCAACTTGGCGCAAAACTGCAAATGCAAAGATGACGCTTCGGTTTCTCATTATTATTCATAGCTGTGTTTTCTTATCCTATGAGAAGAGCCGGCTTCTTAATTATTCATGACTGCACGTGCTTTCCGAAGGCAAGGCAGACCTGCCAGTGCCAAGCTGTGAGACATGTTGATGACTGGGTGAGAAGCGTCCATGGATTCACGGCACACAGTATTTAGCTGTTCATAAAGGGTCGTATGTGTTTGTTTCCATGATCCACTGGGTTTGGTGCATGTTTTTCCCCGCAATGCTGTCAGGGTCAATACAGCAAAGCTGTTTGTGTGCAGCAAGCATTTTTGACTGGAGAGCAGTATGAGAATTGGAGAATATCGACGTTGTCTTTTATCAAGAGTTTAATCACATTTAGACACATCGCCGTGCTGCTGTGTTTGCTTAAATCCTCTAGATTACCAACAGGGCTAATGGTTAAAATAGACAGGGCAAGAGACCTGCTGCACTGAATATGCATTCAGGCCTGGAGATTTAGGGAAAAGTCCTCATTTATTGTGTTTATAAGAACACAATTATCTTAATAATAATATAAATTGTGGTTACGTGTATATGAAATTACGAATAAAAAATGTAGCAGGGCAATAAATTACTGTTTATTTCTTTGCATTTTAACTTTGTAAACTATAAAATCATGCATCTCCTCACGGTTTTTGTCTCATTTTGTGAGCTAACTGACAACATTTGTTCGCTCACCTCCTTCTCCCATGCTGGCCATGCCCACTCCTGCCCTTTGCTCGCTGAGCTCCATGCCCATTTTGATACATATTTTGAAAAAAATTCAGACGTAGACCTAAACTGAAAATGGGGGGGTTTCATGGCCCTTTAAGAGAAGTGTCATGGGATATTTAATAACCACAGAGAGTCAGGACCTGGCTTTAACATCTCAATCAAAAGACGGATATAGTTACTATTGCAGTTTAGTTATATCTGTTTATATAAACGAATAATTGAACTTTTTTCATTAATTTTATTTATTCCTGTGATGTTACAGCTGATTTTTTTTTTACCACAGTTATTTTAGTCCTGAGCAGTGTTTGCCAGATATGGCAGTTTCCCACCCAATTGGGCAATTTAAATTTGATTGTGCCGGTAAAAAATGGCATAGAGGATTGGACAAAATTTAGGCGGTTTTGAAACGTAACTTTTATATGCAACTTATTCAACAAAACTAAACTGTGTGCTCTTACTCCATTCAGTTAGTAGTGACCAGTGCATAGCACAAACCGCGTGGGCCCACCCGCATAAAGAGGTGAAGGAAAGTTGTATCAAAATCTGACTCTCTGGACATCCGACTCCCTTTCGCGTGCACGGGCATCACTCAGCGCCGGCTGTTAAACTCACAACACTTTATCATGTCACTATTATCGATCCCTTTTTTCACAATTGACAGCAAGAACAAACAGAAGCTTTGAACAGAATTTAAGTTCAAAAGAATTAAAAATGCCAAATAGGATGAATTTTTACCCCATTTCGAAAGTAAAACATAGTCTAACAATAAGTGCAGTGTGTGGGTGAGAGGGGGCAGTGTTTCGATGAGATCTGGTTGTGGTTCTGACTGCTGGTGTTGGTTGCTGTATGGTTAAAAATATGACGATTAAAGTAACTAGGTTAATTTCGATTTAAATACATAAAAAATATTTAAATATTGATCTAATATTTTTGGCTTTTTGGACAGCTTTTGGGCTAGAAAAGGTCAGCTATATCTGGCAACACTGCTCCTGAGTGTCACATGTTCTTTTTCTGATATTCTCACTTGATGCTTAAGATCTTGGCCGTTCGAGATTCTATTAAGAAAAAATGAACTGAACAATGTACAAAATATCATTTGAAGCTTGATTTTTGCTTTTAGCTTTAATAATAAACATGCAAGGTACATAGTAGAGACATGTTATCTTTCTAAAGTTCATTGAATCCATGCATATTTTATGTGTGTGTTTGTATTCCAAGTTTTGTTTTTCACAATGTTTCAATTGTGACAAGTCTTGAAGTCATGAAGAAATGTTTAAAAAGTTTCCTGTTAGGATGATGGATAGGATGAATAATCATTTTCAAAATATATTTAGTAAATTATGCCTGATGGGTTTTGTAAATTAAGGAATTAGTGCTGCACGATTAACTGAAGGCTATTTTCGTGCTCATTTTAGCAGTAAACCCAGCTATGTAATCAGCAGTATATCTCCAGCCCCTGCTTTCAAATAGAGCGTTTACTTCGCAGAGCCATAGTTCACTTACAAGCTATGCAAAAAAAAAAAAAAAAAAATCAAAATTAATCGGCACATTCCTAAATCGAAGATATTTATTGTTTCTCTTAAAATGTGAAAATACCACATTAAATGACTTTTTTTTTTTTAAATTCAAACTCGTATCTTCAGTCGAGTATTTATAATTTTTATTTGAGATGATTCTGTAGTTGTGCGGATATTAGTCGCATTGAATCTGCTCTGTTTGATCTCCAGTCTCTCCTATTTGTCTTTTATTTGCAGTTTCAGTTTGAGAGCGCCCTTAGTCTGAGATTTACTAGTGATCACAGAGCCTTCCTTTCCTGGCAAGATGTTCATGAAAATTCCAGATTATGCTGAATCGTGATTTCAGCTTCATTTCAATTAATCGTGCAGCCCTATAACACATTTTCCATCTCTGTTCTGGTTATAGGTTGGAAATCGTGTCGGGGTGAAGAGATGCAGTGACGACACCATGCACATTCTCATTGATGGAGAAGATATGGGACCAGCAGCCACTGCAGTAGCAAAGGTACCTCTATCATTCTATACTTATGTAATATGTTTCATTTTTCAGTCGTACAGTCCACTCAACCACGTTTTTACCACTTGTTCCAGAACGTGTATGCTGTATTGGACCTGTATGGAAAGGTGACGGCTGTGTCCATCGTCAGTTCAACACTAGTTGAGGATTCTGAGAGTGTGAAAGCTCCCTCGCTCTCGTCCGACAGCTGCAGTGAAGGAGAAGAGGACTGCACTCCTGTCAGAGAGGTGTGCTGCTTACTACAGCACTTTTTGAAGTTTGTTTCAGTTGTATTTTAAAGGGTCATGAAATCCCGGTCTTTCAGTTTAAGTTTAACTCACAATTTTGAAATATGCTACTTACTCTTTTTATTTTATAATTTTTTTATTACTATTTTGGGGTTTTGACCTTTATTTGGATAGGAAAGTAGAGGGAATTGACAGGAAAGCATTGGGATCAGAGAGAGAGGAAGGATCGGCATAGGACCCTAGGCGGAATCGAACTTAGGGTCGCCGTTAGCATTGGAGTGCATGGGTTGAAGCACTAAACCCTACATCACTGGCGCCGACCTGCTACTTAAACTTGAGCAGAAAGTATTCGTTTTAAGGCAAGGAAGGAGAGAAAGAGGGGAGGGAGCAGCTGTCATCTGTCAGTGGTGCATGCTGACTCACGTAAACCCGAGGAAATGAATGATTTTATATTTAATGAGTTTTTAAAGGAATGGTTGACATAAAAATGAAATATAGCACATAATTTACTCGCCCTCAGACAGTCAGAGTAGTTTAAATTTTAAGTTGACTCTTCCATGCTGTGTAATGGTGTAATCTTCCAAAAGCAAAAATAACTCTGTGGTAAAAGTAACCCATACACTTGCAGGGGGTTAACACTTGTCTTATGAAGCAGATTGATGTTTTTTTGTTTTTTTTTTTGTAACAAAAATAATTAACATTTTTAAATTTTATTCTCAAATCACTGACTCACTCACATTCTCTGACTTGATCTGTGATGTATTTATAGCAGAAGCTCTAAGAATAGACGCATCTGGTGAAAACCACTTGCCACAGTTTGTTTAGCACAGAAGACGATGACAAACAAGAAAACTAGTTTGCTTGGCAGTAGTGTATAACGTTAAACAGTATATTCGCTCTTACAATGCAGCATTCCACAGAATCAGCTGATAGGCATGGCTTTCAAAAGCTCCAGTGTCCGTGTTTCTGTGTAAACGCTCAATGAAGTGTGTATATGATGATCACTGTAGCCAATCACAGTCATACCTGTTGATCACGTGAACACAATGGCCAATCAGCAGTGTTGAAGACTCCTCTTAGCAGCACTTTAAAAGAAGCGGGAAATGCTTCCATTGTCACATTTTTAAACATATTTTGTACTGATTGGTACAGAAATCGGTACTTGCAGCAACAATACCCGTGACCCATCATGAAATACTGGGAATAACGGAATAATTTAAAAGCAGTGTTTTCTTAGAGGATAAGAAAACTATTTCATAAATAATAATGAGACACTGATGTGTCAATAAAGTACTTACAGAATTATTACAAAATGAAGAAACTTCAGTTACATGACAATAAGCTTATAATTAGCTGTTTTTCCCCTTATAATTCAACGAACATAAACATTTTGTCAAGGCTTTCGTCTAAGGTTTAATCTGAATTTGTTTATTTCTCCTCAGTGTGAGAATGAGCCTCCATTGGTGCCCACAGTCATGACGTTTTTGGAGAATCATGGGAAGAATATCCAGCTGTCCAATCAAAATCTGACCGCCGCTCGGGTGTCCAGCTACAACCAGGGGCTTCTGGTCACAGCCCAAGCTCTGCCTCGCCAGCAGCTCTTCCAGGTTTGTTTCTGCATAAGTGTCTTGCTGGATGTTAAAAACAATATCCATTTGATGCTAAGTGTGTCTCCTTTTGTTCCTCAGTTTCAGATTGACCGCTTGAATCCCTCATGGACGTCGTCTCTCTCCCTCGGTGTGATTGGTCATTCACCAGACCGACTCAACTTTCCTTCCACAGCCTGCTGCCTTAAACGCTCAGTCTGGCTACTGCAACGAGACTCTGTTTTCCACAACTCGCTAAAGGTGATGTCCTTTCTGGTCCTTGCCCCAGTTCTTTTTTCTCTTGAGGTTTTTCATTCTTTTTTCAGCCTGCCTCTTACTCGTGTTTGTGTACTCGATGTACTATTTCCTTTTTCTTCCTTTCATTCTCAGATTTGTGAGAACTATGGTCCAAACCTGGACACCTGTCCAGAGGGGACAGTTTTGGGGCTGTTGGTGGATAGCAGTGGTTGTCTCCATTTGTTTGTGAATGGCATGGATCAGGGTGTAGCGGCACAGGACATCCCGAGCCCCTGTTACGCCCTCATTGACCTTTACGGCCAGTGTGAACAGGTCAGAATCTTTATATTATAAATTTCCTGGAACTTAAAATATGTTTTTTGTTAAAAAAATTGAGTTGTTATTATTAAGTACATATTTTAAATGTAATCAATATTTAATTCATCAATATCATCATTCAGAAAACCTCATCACAAAAAGTGAATTTGATTAAAAATTATGTTTATTATTATTGGGTTGGGGGATGTTGACCAGTTGGGCATCGTATGATGTCTAATGTGAAACATTGCTATGAAAGATTGCATCGTTGTTGTAGGCGGTGGTGAATTAATTATATTTAAATAATTAATTAATTCATAACGAATTAATTGTTTGTTGCCTACCGTTTCAACTAGCTGACCCACATGATCTTTGTTTTACCCATAACCAAATCATAAATAAATAAAGATAAGTTAAAAAGGCGCTAAGCTGTGCCCGAAAAGTTGCTAGATTACATCATACGTTAATTTGCATATTGCTGACAACATCACATTCTACTATTTCTGTTTGTTTAACAGCCTATGGTCAATAAAGGGGTATTTATATTTGCACTTCGCTTTATGTAAGCATGTCAATATAACAAAATTAATTTTTTGTTTGAATACAGTTTATCATAGATGTGTAGTGAATTTGCAGTAATCTCTCAAACGTAATAAACTCAGACAAGTTCTGAAATTGTCACTAAAATCTCTGTGATTTGTGAACAAGAAAAAAATGAACGGTCAAATTAAATTGTTAAAATAAAGGAGAAGCAGATCAGTTTGACTGTATATTGGAAATAACCCTCACACTGCCGGTGCTAAATGATTTGCCGTCGGTACGCAGAGGGGTGATCTGCTGTCAGGCTGCAGGTGGGAGACACTGCTGTACGAGGACTGGGCCACCTGTCAGTGCTCTGAGGCAGGGGAGGGGCTGGCGGCCGCAGCTCTAAATGACTGTCTATAAAAATCTCCAGTAACACACAAAAAAGCCCCTTTATTGAAAATTTGTCGCTAAGGGGTTCTGAAAAGTCACTAAATCTAGCGACAAAGTCGCTAAGTTGGCAACACTGGATGTGGATTGTTTTCGTTCTAAAATGTCATTTTAAAACTAGGCTGTATTAGTGTAAATGGGGCCAGAGTGTGTATTTTTTGCGAGCGGGTTTGCGATGGAGGCGGGGTGGAGGATCTTGATGCCGGCTCAGCATCGTGATGTCTATCAGCCATCCCCAATCGATGGCATCGTCTATAGACCCAAACCTAGTTTGTGTGTGTGTGTGTGTGTGTGTGTGTGTGTGTGTGTGTGTGTGTGTGTGTGTGTGTGTGTGTGTGTGTGTGTGTGTGTATATATATATATATATATATATATATATATATATATATATATATATATATATATATATATATATATGTATATGTATATATGTATATATATGTATATATGTGTGTGTGTGTGTGTGTGTGTGTGTGTGTGTGTGTGTGTTAATATGTAATGTAATCTTATTGGAAAATTCCTTGTCAGAAAATATTTCATTAAACATGTTCTTGTTGTTATTATTAATACAGTAATAGATATATTAACACTGTATTATATTGTGTTATTATACAGATGTTTTTCTTTCAGAGTTTAGCTGATTGTCTTGTTGTTGTATTGTCAGGTGACTATCGTGGCGAATCATGTGCCGGTGGTTGGCGGTGAGCGAGGAGACCTGCGCTGTCAAGGGGACATGGAGAAGGCTGATATGGTGGACGGTGCGTCACATTCTGACCTTAATTCACACAATGTAGTTAATGTAGCTCTGCTTCACACTTTTGCTCTCTATGCTGCAGGTATAAAAGAGAGTGTCTGCTGGACTCCTCCTCCCGAGGTCAACCCTAATAAGACCTGCGAGTATCAGGCGCTGTGCTCCAGATTCAAAGACCTGCTCACACTGCCTGGTACAACCACATTATACCTCATACATTTGAAGGTCCCCTAAAAAGTGCCATGAGTTTGCTGCTTTGTTCCATGTGTGACATCATGTGAGCCATAACATGAATGGGATATGAGTAGCTCCTTCCCTTTATAAAAAAAGCTCTGCCATGACCTTATTTTCACCTCAAGCTGAGAACTCTTTCATCATTTACTCAGCCTTCAATTGTCACAAACCTGTTTGAGTTTCTTTCTTCTGTTGAACATAAAAGAAGATATTTTGAAAAATGCTTAACATGTAACCCTTGGCATTCATAGTATTTGTTTTTTCTACTGTAGGGTTCCAGTTTCTAGTATTTTCTAAAATATCTTCTTTTGTGTTCAACACAAACTAAATAAGGTTTGAAACTACTTAAGGGCGAGTGAATAGTGAATAAACATTTATTTCTGGGTGAACTATCCCTTTAATTAATCTGATTCATGACAGATGAAGTCTAAAATTTAATTTAATTTTGTTTTAAAATGCAGCGTTCAGTAGCTGTTTCCATTCAGCTATTTTAAGAGGCCTTTAAACTATCGCATAAAAATGAAAACTCCAAGATGCGTATCAATTTTAAAAATACTCATAAAATCTTATGTGTACAACTGAGAAGGAGAACCTTTTTCCACGTTACAACCCCTTTGATTGTAGTCTAGGGTGAAAGGGGTAACATTGAAGGTGTGTTAAAGAAAGAAACGCTGCTCTTTTCTCAAATGTTTATGCAATACTCAGTTTTGCACATAAATATGATTTGCAGTAGTGGAAATCAAGTGAGACTGATATTTTTTGTGGTCTTTGCAACTTACGCATCTGTTCTGTTTTGTGCTGTCGCATCTGATCCCTGAACCAAACCGCATGTGTTCATTAGACATTACCATGAAAGCAGACTCCATTCACACCAGTGCAAATTGATTTTATGCAGTCTTTGTCTTAATCCTCTTAAGAGTTGACTATGTTCCATTCGCCATATAAAAGACTGTAATTGGCTTAATTGTGAATGTCCTAGATGCCTGTATGCTGTGTGTGTGTGTGTGTTTGTGTAGGACTTTTCTCTGCTAACTGTTTCAGCATTCTGTCTTTTTGGGGTTCCTCTCTATATTGTTATGACTATTTAACGTACACAATGTCTTGGCTACTGGTTATTACTTTCCTGTATTTGAAAGTCTTATGTGAACCACAGAATTAAAACTCAGTTACATGCGAATAAGTGACTTATTTCAGCATTTAGTGTTTCTTAGGGTGCGAGATGCTTCTGATACTACAATACAATACAGTAGATTATAGATTAATTGGTAACACTTTACAATACCATAATTGAACATTTTCTAATGCATTATTACCATCCAAGTCAGTGCTTGTTAACATTAGTTAATGCAGCATGAGTTGACATGACCTAACAATGAACTACTGTATTTTCATTAACAAACGTTAACTAACATGAACAAATACAGTAGTAAATGTATTGTTCATTGTTTGTTCATGTTAGTAAATGCATTAATTAACATTAACTAATGAACCTTATTGTAAAGTGTGACCGATTAATTTAAAGAGATTTTTACAAAAAAATGTAAATTACCTCACTATATCTCACCCTCAAGTCCTTCCAACCCTTTATGAGTTCTACTTTCTATTGAACGAAAAAGAAGATATTTTGAAGAATGTTAGAAACCAGTAGTAACAGTAGTAACAGTAGAAAAAGCAAACACTATGGAAGTCAATATTTTTTCCCAATAGCGTTTCTAGTTATCAAATTTTATAAGCTTTTTTAAACTGGCATTATAACCACTGCATAATAAACTGAAACAATAATGCATATTGCAAAAAAATGTATTGCACTGAACTGAACTTGAACTCTGAAAACGGAACTGACACTGTTTCAGTTCACTGTAATCTTCTGTGAAGCTGCTTTGACACAATCTACATTGTAAAAGCGCTATACAAATAAAAATGGAATTGGATTAAATATTGTGCATCTGAATAGGATAATCTTTTTACCTGTGTTACAATTTTGAAGAATGTTAGAAACTGGTAGCCACTGACTTCCATAGAAGACACTATTGTGTTTAACCTGCTGTGTTCAACAGGTTTGTAACAAGTGAAGGGTCTGTAGAATAATGAGATATTTATTAATATTTATATTTATTAATTTCTAGACAGTCAAAAGTTGACATACATTTCCTTGGTATTTTTTTAGCTTTGCTTTTAATCTGTATAACTTTGGTCAAATATTTTAGGTATCCTTCCACAAGCTTCTTACAATAGTTTGAAGGAATTTTTAGACCATTCCTCCTGACAGAATTGGTGTAACCGAGTCAAAATTGTAGGCTGTCTTGCTCGCACAAGCTTTTTCAAATCTGGCCACAAATTTTCTATAGGATTGATATCAGGGCTTTGTGATGGCCACTCCAAAACATTCACTCTGTTGACCTTAAAGCACTTTTAACTAATTTATCAGTATGCTTGGGGTCATGGTCTGTTTGGAAGACCCATTTGTGGCCAAGTTTCAATTTCCTGGCTGATGTCTTGAGATGTTGCTTAAGTATTTCTACATAATGTTCTTTCTTCATGATGCCATCTATGCTGTAAAGCGGACCAGTCCCTTCTGCAGCAAAACAGCCCCACAACATGATGCTGCCTTCCCCATACTTAACAGTTGGGATGGTGTTCCTAGGCTTGTAAGCTTTCTCCTTTGTCCTCCAAATGTAACACTGGTCATTATAGCCAAACAGTTCAATCTTAGTTCCATCAGACCACAGGACATCTCCAAACATTATTCTAATTTAGCAAATTGTAATCTGGCTTTTCTCTCACTATTCTGCTATTAAGCATAACAAAAACAAATTTGATACACCTAACTTTCCTAAAAGAGAAAAAGTTTAATCACATTAACATCTGACTTTTTTATGGTTATGTGCCTTTTTATACAGTGTATGTAAACTTTTGGTCTCAGCTGTATGTGCACAGATTGAATGTGATGGTTAATGCTAACCTGTTACATACTGAATCCCTTGCTCTTTTTTTTTCTTCCAGATGGTTACTTTAATGAGGATGCCAAGTATAACCTGTGTTACTGTGAGTCCTGTCATAAATTAAGGGGTGATGAGGCCTATTACAAGCGAGGAGAGCCCCCCAGAGACTATGCTCTACCGTTCGGCTGGTGCCGCTTTGCACTCCAGTCAGTTACTTTTAAGTTGCTTCTGTATTTAAGCTGTTAGAATGTGAAGATGATTTATTAGTGGTATTTAATGCCTTATCAAGTGGTCTTGTCTTTATTTAATCAGGATCAAGACCCACTGTGAAGTCTCCAATGCCTTCAAGAAGTGGCACATTGCGTATCACGGCACAAGTGTCGGTTCTCTTAGACGCACCCTGGACCACAACCAACTGTTATCAGGTTAGCAGTTACTGGAAAATAATTCTGAATTTATTCATTAACAATTATTGGGTATTGTTTGAAACCATTAAACACTTCTGTTCATCAATGACTTATTATAAGTGATAATTGTCACGCAAATATTAATCTGTTTTCAACACTACTGATAATGTAAAACAATAATATATTAAACAATTACATTAAACATTGAAGAATGGAGTAATGATGCTGTCAGTCCTTTTACAGCAATAAATTACATATTAATAGATGTTAAAATGAAAAACAGTTATTTTTATATAATGTAATGTATAACATTATTTTTCAAACCAAATGTATAGTTATAATATACATTTGGTATATATATTTATATATTAAATATATTTATATAATATATTTATTTTAATATTTCACAATACTACTGTTCATACTGTATTTTTGATCAAATAAATCAAGATTGGGTGGTGTGATTGTAAGAGATTTTGTGTAGTTTCTTATAATTAAGATATGTTATTTAATAATATTTTTCATAAATAAGTGAAATATATATAATATATACATAATATTCAGTTGAATTCAGAATTATTAGTGCCCCTTAGAAATCTTAATTTTTAAAAAAATATTTCCTAAATTATGTTTAACAGAGCAAGGAAATTTTCACAGTATGTCTGATAATATTTTTTCTACGGAGAAAGTCTTTTTTGTTTTATTTCTACTAGAATAAAAGCCGTTTTTAATTTTTTAAACACCATTTTAGACAAAATTATTAGCCCCCTTAAGCTAATTATTTTTTCGATAGTCTAATTAACCTAGTTAAGCCTTTAAATGTCACTTTAAGCTGCATAGAAGTGTCTTGAAAAATATGTAGTCAGATATTATTTACTGTCATCATGGAAAAGATCAAATAAATCAGTTATTAGAAATGAGTTATTAAAACTATTATGTTTAGAAATGTGTTGAAAAAAATCTCTCCGTTAAACAGAAATTGGGGAAAAAATAAACGGGACTAATAATTCAGAGGGGTCAATAATTCTGACTTCAACTGTATATAATTATATATTATATAAAATAATATATATATAAAAATATGTACTTTTATATAAAATAGTATAATATAATGATTAAATATTTATTGTGTTTAATTGTATGTAAATGAATAAATTTACTTTGATCAAAGTATTTATAGTCTGTAATATTTATCTATACTAGCTGTAAATAAAAAAAAAATATATAAATATCCTTATTCTACTGTAAATAATTAATGATTTTTATATATATATATATATATTTATATACAGTTGAAGTCTGAATTATTAGCCCCCCTGAATTATTAGACCGCTTGTCTATTTATCTCCAATTTCTGTTTAACGGAAAGAAGATTTTTTTCAACACTTTTCTAAACAATAGTTTTAATAACTCATTTCTAATAACTGATTTATTTGATCTTTTCCATGATGACAGTAAATAATATCTGACTACATATTTTTCAAGACACTTCTATACAGCTTAAAGTGACATTTAAAGGCTTATCTTGGTTAATTAAGGTAACTAGGCAAGTTATTGTATGGATATTTTTTATTGTATGAATGAATAGTTACACTGTAAAAATGACACAACATGAAATTTGAGCTGATATTGTTATATACAATTGATTTACACTAGCTGTAACATGTTTACATGAAAATATCTAAGTCTCATTAGTACTACTGTATAAATATGCACAATCATGTTAGTTTCCGGTATCCAGTCTGCTAAAACAACTCCTTTTCAATTGTAGGCTTATTATTTTTTTTATCCAGTTCATCTCTAACATTGAAAAGGCAAAATATCTGCTTCTGAAATGCATGAATGTGTGAATTAAAATCAGCTTCTCTATTTCTCATCAGCAGAATCATCCTCTATTTTCTCGTCATCGTCGGTGAAGACGGAGGGTCATGGCAGCTACGGAGAGCCGGAGGAGAACAGCGCTCCAGAGAGAGACATTCCCAGAGTGCAGCTCTCACCAACCATGCGATATTCCGGCCTCGAGGTCTTCGCTCCGAAAGTGCAGTAAGTCCACAGTTAGCAGACTTCCTGAGAACATTTAAACGGGACATTAAAATTATAGCAGCTTTTGGATGCTATAATGAATAAAAGATTCAGCACAGTTGGTTCAAAAGAAATGAAATTGTTGTGTAGCATAATGTGTTTATCAAATCAAATTCTGAGATTCTATTATGTTGTCTTATGCTCTGTGTTTTCAGAGTGCATTTTAGTGATTAATCTTTTTTGTTGTTTGTTTAGGGGTAAAAATAAGCAGCGGTTTACTGTTAGTGAACATCCGGATCAAACAATTTATGCAATTAATTAATTAAGGGGCATATTTTGCCCAAAAATTTGAATTTACCCACCAAAAAGTGGTTCTCACAAGATTTTCTTTCTTTTTTTGAACACAAAAGAAAATATTTTGAAGAAAGCTAAAACTTAAGGAAAAAAAAAACATGATATGCTATGATATTACACTGTGCTGTGACTGTTATTTAGTTACCTACAGTAGTTGCTTTTTTTTAGCAATACAGTAAATAGTAAACTATTTTCTGATGATGCGTAACAACATTGCACCTTCTGTAGCCCTGGTACAGCAGCAGAGTTCCTTGATTATTACTCCAGAATGAGAGTAAAGTTCCTAACAATAGACTCCTGGAAAACTTTTCATCAGTCTTAGAACAGGATGTATCTGCAGAAGAGTCAAGCTTTAACAATAGAACTACAGAGGCAGTCATTTTGGCTGTTTAATTTTTTAAATTAACTAACTTTGTTGAAATAAAACACACATATCTATAATTCCCTGACTTTTACTAAGCACATGTCTGTATTTCCTTCTAACATTGTTATTTTATTCAAATTCAATTTCTGCTAACAAAAACAACTTTTTTGGGGGGAAAACACAGCTTTACTTCAGATATGTCTTTAAAAACAACATATTCAGCATGTGAAAAAGCCTTATCCTCTGCTTGAGAAAGTGACAGCAGACATGTATGGGTGGTCTAATATAGGATAACTATACATTTATAGGCTGTATTGCCATAAGGTCTGTAAGGTCATATTTTTAGTGTGATGACTCATGAATGAATATGATGACAGAAATTCTAATCTTATTTCTTATTTTTTATTTTAAGGATTTTCAAATAGTACAAAGACAATCAGACAAACAAACAAACCCTCCCAAACACTGCAAATTAAATAAAAATGTACAAATGTATGTTTAAACAAAACAAAATAATTTTAATAAAAATAATCAAAACAAAAGAAGCCAGAACTCTCTAAAAATAAAAAATTCAGAGTTTATGTAGAAAGAATTAGAGAGGTCCCCAAAGCCTCCAGAATTTGTTCTGTTTGTGGTTGAGATCATAGGTTAATTTTTCCAAAGGAAGAAAGACTGACAACTGAGAAATCCACATTGAAATAGTTGGAATTTGAGAAGTAGACTATTTTAGTAATATACATTTCTTAGCCAGAAATGTAAGAGTTGTAAACAGGTTTGATCTCTGAGTCAAAAAAGGTTTTCAGGAATGTCATTCAACAAAAAAAAAAAGTGAGGGGGAGAAGGAAAACGTTTTCCAATTATCTCCTGGATTGCAGAATGAACCCCCCTCCAAAATGCTTGGATGTGAACACGGGACCAAAATACATGAAAAAATGTGCCCTTACACGTTATTGCACAAGCTGGGAACATGTTATGCAGATGAACAGGTGTAAAATAAATTCTGTGGAAAAACTTGACATTTTGTTCATGTATGGAAATTGAGGTACATTTTGGAAAAGTGCAATCACAAATCTTGGACCAATCTTCAGGATTAAACAGAACTCCTAGGATTCAGAGTAAACCTAAAAGGCATAGAATTGAGAAATAAGCCCTATCAAAAGCTTAGTTTTAATATCTCAATAGAAGCTTTGAATATAAATATTACAAGACAATATGACGTCTTATATGAGAACGGTCAGAATGACCACTATGGTAATTCTAGTAGTTACAGAATTCCACTGTTAAATAGGAAAATTATCAAAGCCTTATTTTTATTTTTATTTTATTTTTTTAGCTAGATGCCAACGGTGTAATCTGATTCAATGATTTATGCTATGCTAAGCTAAAAGTGTTAGAAAGAGACCCAGAGATCGGCTGAATGGATTCAAAAATGGTAATGCTTAGCTGTTCAACTCTGGTGGTTGTTTTCAGGGTAAAGAAGCCTATTTCCAAAAAATGAAAATCAGGGTTTTAGGGCTGCACAATATTGGAAAAAGTCTAGCATTGTTGATATTTTATATTCTGCGAAATATATTTCGATATGAATACAATTTCACTAGATCATTTGAATGACTATTTGGAAAGAATTAGTAATTTTATAATTATTTTGATCTATTAGCATAGACAAATTCAATAAAGAATCAAATGTAAAGCAATACTGTATAGTGTTAATAATCATTAATAATTATTCAAAGTTACTAAACAGTACCATTTTTTTATACTTGAATGCCATTAAAATCTGATACAGTGACAGACCTTGGGAAATGATCAATTATATTCCAGATTCAATGTTTAATATTTTGCATTGTGATTATTACTAATGCAACATCAATGCTATTTTGTGGATCTAAAGTAAAACGGCTTTAGTTTTATCCTTTGAAAACTCAATATTTGTACAAAATGGTCACCGTTCCACTTTTCCCTGCAGATTTCGAGACCCGCGTTCGCTCCGCTGTCACCAGGCTCAGGTGGGCTTCCAGGTGTGTGTCCGGCCAGGCTCCTATAAAGTAGGTCCGTCGTCTTTAGGAATCAGCGAGCCGCTAGACCCGCGATTCAGCAATGCAGAAATCGAATGGATCACCAAGGAGAAAGGAGGCACGCTTCTATATGGCCTGCTCATACGAGTTGAGTAAAAACAGACTCGAGCAAAGGAGATCACCATCATCCTCCTCCTCCTCACCATTAAACCAAATTTCAGCGCAGCCGTTGAGGATTTTTGCATTGTTTTTGCTGCTCAAGCTCACTCATCTCTGCATGTTTCAGACATTCTTTTGAGTTCGTTCTGTTTTGAAGGAGGGCGATGAAAATCCCCAGAGACAAAGACACTGCCTGCACTTTATGTTTCGGACACTGGTGGGCGATTTTTAGTTTTTCTGTTAAATTCACTCACTCAGCAGGCTCTCCGTGATTTTTTCTGTCTGTTCATACATTAAAAAAATCTATATATCACCTCTTTTCTTTTTAAAAAATCTTTACAGCCTGTTTTTCTCACAGAAATAATACTGGACTGAAGCAACACAAAACCACAAGTTCACAGCACAGCTCTGAATTGATACTCCTGTTTTTTCTTAAGACTCGCAAAGGACAAATCAACCTGGAAATAACCCGTTTCAATAACTATTTCAAGAAACGGACAACCTGAAAATGACCTAAAACATGCAGCAAAATCAGGAAGAGACTCAGCGTTACAGTTTGTTCATCACTTTCTTTTGTTTACTCCAGAGCTTCTGCTCCATATTTGGTTCTTATAGCTGTGTATTTATGCACACATTACAGTGTTTAGTGGATCAAAAATTCTACATCAAGACAAGAAGGTAAGAATTCTCTTGTGTTTTTATTTTTTATTGTGAATACACAGTTATAACTATCTATGAAGTGGGTCTCATATATATTTTTCTCCATTTGGCCCGTTATTCTGATGAAATCGCTTTATAAAGTGGTTCAAAATGATAGTTCACCCAAACTCTTAAAATGTCAACAATCACCATTTGACCATCAATGATTTGAGTGACTCTTATTTTATTTAGTTTTTCACATTATAGAACAGGACTCATCAAATTTGTTCCTGGAGAGCCGGTGTCCTGCAGATTTTAGCTCCAGTCCTAATCAAACACCCCTGAACAAGCTAATCAAGGTTTTACAAGGTATACTTGAAACACCCAAGCAGGTGTGTAGAGGCAAGGAGCTAAACCCTGCAGGAACACCGGCCCTCCAGGGTCGAGATTGGTGACCCCTGTTATAGAAGATGGTGATTCTGAATAAAATGTAATGTAATGTAAGTCATAAAATGTAAGTCAATGACTAATTTTAGCATTTTAAAGGGATAATTTACCTAAAAAAAATTAATCTGTCATCCTTTACTTACCCTTCAAACCCTATTAAAGTTTCTTTCTTCTGATGAACATTGATGAAAAAAGATATTTTTAAGTTATTGTACCCATTGACTTCCATAGGATATTTTTTCTTTCTATGAATGTCAGTGGGCGTCATCAGCATTCTTCCAAGTATCTTCCTTTCTGTTTTCCAGAAGAAACAAAACTTTTTTAAAAACTACTTAAAGGAGAGTGAATGATTATTTTTGTGAACTATCCCTTTAAGAATAAAAAAAGAGTCATGATTTCTTGACTATTTAGTCATTAATCATATAAAAGTTGACAGTTTTATCTAAAAATCTTCTGTTATGTTTGGATGATGAAGAAATAAGTAATCTACAATTCTAAATCAACACTTAATAAACATTTTTGGGTGAACTATGCCTTTAAATATCAACCAAAAGTACATCATTTCACTGTATTGATGCACAGAAATCAATATCGCCCCCAAAGCACTCTGAAAATTGCTAGATGAGAACATTTATGAAGCTTTATGTGTATTCGTGCGTCCAAATGTGCGTCCCAGTAGTCTTTTTATCTTTAAAGTCACCTGCGGATGTTCTTGTCTTACTTTTCAAAAAACGCTTCACTGCTTTAGACATTGTTTACACAATGGTTTATGTTCAGGTTTGTCTTCTATTCTGAAGTAACTTGCTGTTAAAAGCATTCGTTTACTCGCAGACTTCAGTGTAACAGCCAGGATGTGAAGTTAAACAGGTAAATAAGATAAACAAATGCAAACGTCTGTTTATGTACTACTTTCAACATCCTGTTCAGCGGGAAGGACTGTTTATTCAGTTAGGTTGAGGAATTGTGGGAATTGAAGTCTATATTTGAATACCTGACCCCAGGATTGGTGTTTACACTGGGAATGTGATTTGTTTTAATAGATTGTTTACTCCATGCTAGACATATTGCCATTTTTTTTTTGTATTCTCTTATGACTATGATTGCACAAATGTAAGCCCTTGCTGGAAAAAAAAAGACGACGACATAAAACTCAACTCTTCCGATTGTATCTAGACTCTGTGAAGGCATATCTATCCATTAGTTTTTTTATTAATATTTTATTTTGTTGCCAATACGACATACTTGAGTGTACATTTCGCGTTAGCAATCCCGCTTTATTGCCAAGGGCAAAGTCTGAATAAATGCTTGCTATGTACATTGGAAAAATGTGAAAACAGGGTTCACGTTGGCCCATTGCTGCTTTTTTTTTGGTCATTTGTATTATTTGTTTGTGTTATTTTTATGTCTTTACATTGTGTTGTACAGCCTGTTACATAACACTAACATTACCTACCTGGTTTGTAAGAAAATAAAAATACAAAAAAAAGAGACAGTTATGCACAACATATGAAAGAAAAATGTGTCCGTGTCTTTCATTAGTTCTACCTGCACATCACAAAAATCTGTGATAATTCATTTCTGACAAGACAAATACATACTTAAAGGTCATAATTATAAACAATGGCCAAATATTTAATAAATCTTCATTTAAAAAAAGATTTAGAATTAGATGTTTAAAATAGAAATTGCATAGGTGACGTGGTCACACTAGAGTTTGAGCATGCAAAATTCTTTTGTACGACACTGTGAAAAGGGACGGGATTAAGCAAGATGATGACAATGAAGGGCATCTATTTTACCCCTTTTACAAGATGTAAGAGAAGTCTTTGATGTCTCTAGAATGTGTCTGTAACGTTTCAGCTCAAAACACCCATCAGATTATTTTTTAGGGCTGCACGATATTTGCAGTATTTTCTTTTACTGCTATAGAGTTAAAGTCAGAATTATTAGCCTCCTGAATTATTAGCACCCTTGTTTATTATTTTTTTTCATTTTCTGTTCAACGGAGAGAATATTTTTTCCAACACATTTCTTCTAGACATAATAGTTTTAATAACTCATCTCTAATTACTGATTTATTAAGTTTTTGCCATGATGAAAAAGTATTTGACTAGATATTTTTCAAGACACTTTTATACAGCTTAAAGTGACATTTAAAGGCTTAACTAGGTTTATTAGGTCAACTAGGCAGGTTAGGGTAATTAGGCAAGTTATTGTGTAATGATGGTTTGTTCTGTAGACTATCGGAAGAAAATAGCTCAAAGGGGCTAATAATTTTGTCCCAAAAATGTTTTTTAAAAAATTAAAAACTGCTTTTGTTCTAGCCTAAATAAAACTAACAAAACTTTCTTCAGAAGAAAAAATATTATCAGACCTACTGTGAAAATTTTCTTGCTCTGTTAAACATCATTTGGGAAATATTTTAAAAAATTCAAATGGGGGCTAATAATTCTGACTTCAATTGTATATTGCGAATTGAATACAATTTCAAAAGAAGACTTGAGTATCTCAGTAAAGAATGCATAATTTTAAATTGGTTGGGATGATTTTATAGGGGAGCGCATGTGCATAAAATACAATTACAAGCAAAGTTAAATGCGTATAACAGAGCAAGTATACAAATTAAATAAGCAATGACATGACCTTCTGGGGAGACGAATAGAATTCAGCAGCAGAAATGAAATGATCACTGTTTTCATTTAGTAAATATTTGTACAATTCATCTTTAAGGTACAAAAGTTTAATTTATTGTGCCCAAATGCATTAAATTAGCTTGAAATGCTTAGTCACAGGCACTAAAACTCTCTAAGGTTAAAGTTTGAAATGATCCCACTGTGTTGTAAACTGTAATGTCTGGTTAATTATAATCATAAAGTTACGTTGCAGATTCTGCAATGTGACTATTGCACACTCTCAGCTTGCAATATTGATGCTGAAACTATATTGTACAGCCTTAGAATTTATTATAGCCTCCAGAATTTGTCTATTTTGGTGTCTGAGTACAATGTAGGTGTTTTTGTAGCCTGTGGCTTTAAATGCAAATGAGCTGCTTCTCCCTGCCCACCATTCCAATGTGCGTGTCTGCTTCTCATTATGCGTTAAATCAGATAAACAACAGTCAGTGACAGAGACCGATTAAAATGAAGCTGATTAGTCAAAACTACCAAGTAAATTTTATAAGATATTTGTCGTGGAGTTTATTTAAGCCTTTCTGAAATGATGAGTCACACACAAATGCACACACACACACACATATGTATGTATATATATATAATATTGATTAGCATAGCAGCGTCAGTCAATGAATTTATTCTGTGTTGAGTATTTGCATTAAGTGATCCGATTAGCTGACGTTTCCGTTGGCGCTTGAAAATTTGAAAAATTCCCACCTTCTGCAGCGAGCGGCGCTGCGTATCCACAATTTAGTTTGGCAACACATGATGTCGCCATTCAAAGTGAATGAGATATGCTGATGCCCCGTTTGAATGTGTTATTGTCTTTATTACAAACATGCTGTTTTAAAAACGTTTTAATTTTATAAAATAACAGAGAGTTTGAACAGATACTTTAATCTCTGTTATTTTGCAAAGAATGTTCTATGGATGTATGTATACATGTTATTATAGAAACAGGGCGCCTGTCAATAAACAGGAAAACCGCACTCCTATGTCACTGGGATTTGGGTCCTATTTTAACGTAAGTAAAGAGAGACTTGTTGTGTTTATATCATTCCAATATTAAAGTAAACACTATATTTACACAGTTTGGTCCAAACAGCTTACAAAAGATGATTTTTCATCATAGGTGCCCTTTAAAATTTTGTAGTTTTGACCTCCGATTGGTCTCAAGCACTCACGTGATGCAATTTTTCAGATCAGATTTCACCAAGCTTTGGTTTTGCAATGCAGCGAACTGTGAAACTTGTTGCACGAGCTTGTGTTTCCAGTCTGCCGCATTCGCATGCATATGAATGGAAATCTATGGGGCAAAAAGAGCAGCGTGACCGTGGCTTTATTCTAGCTGGAAAGTAACATTTTACATACAAATACTATTTAAATCTTACCTCATTCTCTTGACGCTAACCTTAAGTGCACAAATGTGCTGCTTTCATTTGAGCAGACTTTTGTTAAAAGGCACCTATGATGAAAATCCTCGTTTGTTAGCTGTTTAGACAGAACTGTGTAGGTATAGTGTGTCCACAATCATACTGGAGCGATATAAACATGTTCATAAGCATGTTTGTAATAAATACAGTAAAATCCTTATGTAATTCTTAACCGCTATAATCACCAAGGCCACATGTGTCAGTGAACGCTAATATGTGTGTGTGTGTGTACTGCAAATGACATTCGTGTAAAGCCTGGTTTATACTTCTGCGTCAAGTGACCGGCGTAACCCTCGGCGCATGCAACGCGTGTAGCTGTGCATTTATACTTCTGCGCGCTGTCTCTGTTGGTCTGCATTAACACTTCCGAAACGCTAGTTAGCAGTGAGGTGTAAATGAGGCGGCTCTCGGTCTCGCCCACACTCATAATCGCTACCAAGCTGACCAATGACAGAGCTTGCGCTACGCGTCGTTGCATAATTTTTTGAGAGGTGCACATCAGGGACGCCGACGGGGAAGGGCTATGAAGTCAGCGCCGTAGCATACGCCGGCGTTTGACGCAGTATTATAAATCAGCCTTAAGACTCATCGTTTCAGAAAGGCTTGAATGAACTCCACAACAAATACATGAAATAAACTTACTTGGTAGTTTTGACTAATGAGCTGTATTTCAGCTTCATTAGAGTCTGTCTCTGTCACTGACTGCTGTTGTATTGCATGAGAAGCAGAAACACGTATGAACGGTGGGCGAGAATAACAACCTACAAAAACAGCCACAATGTACTCAGAAACTAAAATGGGCGGATTCTGGAGGCTATAATAAATAATTTGATGGGTATTTTGAGCTGAAACATTAAAGACACATTCTGGAGACACCAAAGGCTTATCTTAGATATTGTAAAATGGGTAAATTAAGTAAAACAATGGTTAAAAAATCTGTTGTCAACAAAAGTTAAGAAAAAACCTACAATATTCAAAACACCATGCTATTGGTTGAGCCAGTGGTGTGTAAACCAACTGAACAATGTTTTTATAGGGTTAGTCCAGTAATTAAATTTGCACTGTGAGCTCGCGTTTATTTTTGGTGTGTTAATCTTATTAATAATATTGTTCATGAGGGTCATGAATCGCATAATTATTACTTTATAATTACTTTATATACGGTAGCTTTATTTTACATTCTTACAAGATACAAAACTTAAGAATGTCAAATAAAGCTATATAAATAATTATTTAATGAGTGCGATTTATGACCTTCTTAATAAAGGGTTAGTCCATTCAAAAATTAAAACTCTGGTATTATTAATTACTCCCTAAAAAAACTAAAAAATTCCTTTTTTTTAGCCAATGTCTTCAGATTTGATCAGGGCATCAGTCTTACTTTTTTCTTGGTTTGTATTGTATAGTAATAATCACAATAAATCAAACTGTATTTTTGAGGAGTAAACACATCAAAATGAAGATTAAAAAAGAAATTCAAAGAGAGTCATGCACATATCCAGATGCAAAAGAAACCAAACACGCAGCAAAATATTATCTAAAACTTGTTTATGCTTCAAAACCATCCACACCCATCAGAGTTTGAACAAAATTGATAAATAACGGACATATAAATACGCTAATAAATAGAGGAACAAAATATAAAAGAGAGATCATAATTGTGGAGTCTTCATCTCTCCTACATTATACAGTGAAAACAGACCAAGTGCATTCAAATGGATCTCACACACACACACACACACACACACACACACACACACACACACACACACACACACACACACATAAAAACCAGTAAAAACCATTTAAGACTTAAAAAAGAACTCATACACAGTGAACTAGGGATTCTCTTGCAATAAATAGTCCAAACCAAAAAAAAAAAAAAACATATGCCTTGTTCTCCAATGCCTAGCCGTTTGCCAAAACAGGCGGATAATGATGCTAACTGCTACTTGAGGTTTCATTTCTGTGATGTCCTTTACATTAGACACAACAGGAAGTGACATTGTCTGCCTGTGGACAGTCGAAATGTGTTGAAGAACATCAATCCACCGATGTAAAGGAGCGATTTAGGCAAAGAGAGGAGAGGACAGAAGTGGCTCCTTCAGAAAACTAGACGCACGGAGAAAAAGACGAGAGCAAATTATAGGGAATGTTCTTGTTCTTGAGAGTCAACAGATGTGAGATCTGAACAAATCCATCTGTTTAGCACTTCTTGGGTCCCCACGCTGACGTTTGTTTCGGTGTTATTCCAGATCCAAACGTTGGGAACTCTTCAGCACTGCTCACGTCTGGTGCCTGGACGTCACAAATAAAGAATAAAAAGAAACAGATAGATTATGATTAAAGCTTTGTCAACAAAATAATCACTTCTTTTAACTTTAGACTGATTTGTTTAAGAGTATTTTTGGTA